AAAATGGGAATTTTTGGGGGGAAAATGGGGATTTTTGCAGGTAAAAAAATGGGGATTTTGGGGGGGGAAATTGGAATTTTTTAAGGAAAAATGGGAATTTTTGCAGGGAAAATGGGGAATTTTGAGGGGAAAAATTCGGAATTTTTGGAGGTAATAAATGGGAATTTTTGTAGGGAAAATGGGAATTTTTGGAGGTAAAAAATGGAATTTTTTGAGAGGAAATGGGGATTTTTGAGGGGGGGAAATTTGGAATTTTTAGGGGTAAAGGGGAATTTTTTGGGGGAAAAATGGGGTTTTTGGCAGGGAAAATTAGGATTTTTTGGAGGTAAAAAACGGAATTTTTGCAGGTAAAAAATGGGGATTTTGGGGGGAACATTTGAAATATTGCGAGGTTAAAAATGGGAATTTTTGGGGGGAAAACTAGGAATTTTGGGGAAAAACAAGGGGAATTTTTTGGGGAAAAATGGGATTTTGGCAGGGAAAATTAGGATTTTTGGCGGTTAAAAATGGGAATTTTTTGGGGGAAGATGGGGATTTTGGAGGGGGAGAGAAAATGGGGATTTTGGGGGGGAATTTGGAATTTTTGCAGTGTGAAAAATGGGGAATTTTTTGAGAGGAAATGGAATTTTTGGGGGGGGTAATTTGGAATTTTTGCAGGTGAAAAATGGGATTTTTTGGGGGGGAAAAAATTTGGAATTTTGAGGGGAAAAATTTGGATTTTTTGGAGGATAAATGGGAATTTCTGGAGGAAAAAAATGGGGATTTATTTGGGAGAAATTTGAATTCTTGGGGGGGGAAATTTGGAATTTTTAGGGAGGGAAATGGGAATTTTTGAGGGGAAAAAATTTGGAATTTTTGGAGGTAATAAATGGGAATTTTTGCAGGGAAAAAAATGGGAATTTGGAGAAATGTGGGATTTTTTGGGAGAAAATGGGATTTTTGGGGGGGAAAATTTGGAATTTTGGGGGGAAAATTTGGAATTTTTAGGGGGAAAAATTGGAATTTTTGAGGAAAAATGGGAATTTTTGCAGGGGAAATGGGAATTTGGGGGGAGAAAAATGGGGATTTTGGGGGGGAAACGGCAATGTTTTGGGGAAAAATGGGGATTTTTCCAGGGGGGAAAATGGGGATTTTTGGCGGGGGGAAAATTGGAATTTTTAGGGGGAAAAATGGGGATTTTTTGGGGAAAAATGGGGATTTTGACGGGGGAAAATTTGGAATTTTTAGAGGTAATAAATGGGAATTTTTGTAGGGAAAATGGGAATTTTGGAGGTTAAAAATGGGAAATTTTTGGGAGGAAATGGGAATTTTGGGGGGGAACATTTGGAATTTTTGCAGGTAAAAAATGGGAATTTTGGGGGGAAACTGGAAATTCTGGGGAAAAATGGGGAATTTTTGGAAGGAAAATGGGGATTTTTGAGGAAAAATGGGAAATTTTGCAGGGAAAATGGGAATTTTCGGGGATAAAAATGGGAATTTTTGGGGAGAAAACCAGGAATTTTTTGCAGGTAAAGATGGGAATTTTTGCAGGTGAAAATGGGAAGTTTTGCAGGTAAAAATGGGAAGTTTTTGAGGAAAATGGAATTTTTTGGAGGTAAAAAATGGGGGATTTTTGGGGAGAAAATTTGGATTTTTGGGGGAAAAATGGGAATTTTTGGAGGTAAAAAAAATGGGAATTTTCAGGGAGGAAAATGGAATTTTTTGTGGGGAAATTTGAAATTTTTATGGGGAAAATGGGACTTTTTGCAGGTAAAAAATGGGAATTTTGGGGGGCAAAATGGGAATTTTTTGGGGTAAAAAATGGGAATTTTTTGGAACAAGCTTTTTTTCCCTAAATTGTGCTTTTCCCCCATTTTGCAGCCAGGGGATGACATCGTGCTGATGGCAGAGGCTCTGGAGAAGCTTTTCCTGCAGAAAATCTCGGAGATGACTCAGGAGGAGACGGAAATCGTCATCGCCCAGAGCAAGGGCCGGGGGCCGCGCCCGCAAGGACCCAGTGTGGGGCTGCCAGGACGCCCAAAATTCCCCAAATCGGCCCCTAATTGCCCAAATCATCCCCAAATCATCCCCAAAAAATTCCCCAAATCAGCCCCAAAAAATTCCCCCAAATCGGCCCCAAAAATTCCCCAACTCATCCCCAAAAATTCCCCAAAATTGTCTCCTCAAAATTCCCCAAAATCGTCCTCAAAATTCCCCAAATCGTCTCCAAATTATCCCCAAAAATTCCCCAAATCATCCCCAAAAATTCCCCAAATTGTCTCCACAAAATTCCCCAAATCACCCCCAAAATTCCCCAAATCGTCCCCAAAAATTCCCAAATCGTCTCCACAAAATTGCCCAAATCCTCCCCAAAATTCCCCAAATTGTCTCCTCAAAATTCCCCAAATTGTCCCAAAAATTCCCCACAAATTCCCCAAATCATCCCCAAAATTCCCCAAATCATCCCCAAATCATCCCCAAAAATTCCCCAAATCATCCCCAAAAATTCCCCAAATTGTCTCCTCAAAATTCCCCAAATTGTCTCCTCAAAATTCCCCAAAAATTCCCCAAATCGTCTCCAAATCATCCCAAAATATTCCCCAAATCGTCCCCAAAAATTCCCCAAATTGTCTCCACAAAATTCCCCAAATCGTCCCCAAAATTCCCCAAAATCATCCCCAAAATTCCCCAAATCGTCCCCAAAGTTCCCCAAATCGTCCCCAAATCGTCCCCAAAACCATCCCAAATTCCCCCTCTATTTCCCCCCTAGTTTCTCCCCATTTTCCCCCTATTTCCCCCTCATTTCCTCCCCATTTTTCCCCCTATATTCTCATTTTTTTCCCCCATTATCCCCATTTTCCCCATATTTTTCTCTCATTTTTCCCATATTTTTCCCCCCTATTTCCCCCATATTCTTCCCCCCTATTTTTCCCCCATTTTCCCCATATTTTCCCCTATCTCCCCATATTTTCCCCCCTATAATCCCCCATATTTTTTCCCCCATTTTCCCATATTTTTCCCCATTTTCCCCATTTTCCCCATATTTTCCCCATATTTTCCCCCATTCCCAATCTATTTTCTCCCCTCTCTCCAGCAGTGCCCTCCAAGCCGGGCTCCTCCGTGGTTCCCCAACACCTCCCTGGCTCAGTTCTCCCCTATTTCCCCATATTTTTCCCCATTTCCCCCATATTTTCCCCCATATTTTCCCCTATAATCCCCATATTTTCCCCCATTCCCAATCTATTTTCCCCATATTTTTCCCCATATTTTCCCCATTCCCAATCTATTTTCTCCCCTCTCTCCAGCAGTGCCCTCCAAGCCGGGCTCCCTCTGCGGTTCCCAAACACCTCCCCCATTTCCCCCCATTTTCCCCATATTTTTCCCCCCTATTTCCCCCTATTTCCCCCCCCATTTTCCCATATTTTCCCCCATATTTTTCCCCCATTTCCCCCATTTCCCCCATATTTTCCCCATATTTTCCCCCATTCCCAATCTATTTTCTCCCCTCTCTCCAGCAGTGCCCCTCCAAGCCGGGCTCCCTTCCCGGTTCCCAACGCCTCCCTGGCTCATTTCCCCCCTATTTCCCATATTTTTTCCCCCCATTTCCCCCATATTTTCCCCCATATTCCCCCCATATTTTCCCCCATTCCAATCTATTTTCTCCCTCTCTCCAGCAGTGCCCTCCAAGCCGGGCTCCTTCCCGGTTCCCAACGCCTCCCTGGCTCATTTTCCCCCCATTTTCCCCATATTTTTCCCCCCTATTTCCCCATATTTTTCCCCTATAATCCCCATATTTTTCCCCCATATTTTCCCCCATATTTCCCCCATATTTTCCCCCATTCCCAATCTATTTTCTCCCCTCTCTCCAGCAGTGCCCTCCAAGCCGGGGCTCCTCCGCGGTTCCCAACGCCTCCCAAGGCTCCTCCCCGGCTCCCCCGGCCCCCGCGGCTCCCCCGGTTCCGGGCCTGGCGCCGCCGTTGCCCTTCGGGGCTCCCGGCCCGGGGGCTCCGGAGCTGCTGGTGCCGCCCGCGGTGACCGTGGTGCCCCCCGTGCCGCCCCGCCCGCCCCGGCCCCGCCCGCCCCGGCCGCGCCCGCCCTGCAGCCCCACCCCGCCCGTCATCCCCACGCCCGCCCAGCCCGTCAAGGTCAGTGGCGCTCGTTAGCGGCGCTAATTGGGCTCATTAGGGGTGGGGGCGGCGGCCTTGGGGTTGGTGGTGTTAATTGTTTTATTGGTATTATTATAATTGGGGTCATTAGGGGTGGGGGCGGCGGCCTTGGGGTTGGTGGTGTTCATTGTTTTATGGTGTTATTATAATTGGGGTCATTAGGGGTGGGAGGGGCGGCCTTGGGGTTGGTGGTGTTCATTGTTTTATTGGTGTTATTATAATTGGGGTCATTAGGGGTGGGAGGGGCGGCCTTGGGGTTGGTGGTGTTAATTGTTTTAATGGTGTTATATTATAATTGGGGTCATTAGGGGTGGGAGGGGCAGCTGTGGGGTTGGTGGTGTTAATTGTTTTATTGGTGTTATTATAATTGGGCTCATTAGGGTGGGGGCGGCGGCCTTGGGGTTGGTGGTGTTAATTGTTTTATTGGTGTTATTATTATATTATTATTATTATCGTCATCGTAATTATTGTCAACGTTATTATTAGCACCGTTATTATCATTATTATCAATAATGCTTTCATTAGGCACCAGTAATTAGCTTAATTAGGGAGTGGGGTTGCGGTTGGTGTTGGTGGTGTTAATTGTTTTATTGTAGTTATCGTTATTATTATTATTACCACTTTATTAGCTGCCCGGTAATTAGCTTAATTAGAGGGTGGGGTTGGTGTTGATTGTGTTAATTGTTGTTTATATTATTATTATTATTATTACTGGTGTTGGGATTTATTATTGTATTTAATGTTATTTATTGAGAGATCCCAAGGTAGAAACTCCAAACCCAAATCCTCAATGAGTGATCCCAAGGTAGAAACTCCAAAACCCAAATCCCAAAAGTAGAAACTCAAATCCCCAGTGAAGCATCCCAAGGTAGAAACTCCAAATCCCCAATCCCAAGGTAGAAACTCCAAATCCCCAAGGAAGGATCCAAAAGTAGAAACTCCAAAACCCCAATCCCAAGTAGAAACTCCAAAACCCCAATCCCAAGGTAGAACCTCCAGAACCCCAATCCCAAGGTAGAAACTCCAGAACCCCAGTGAAGCATCCAAAGTAGAAAACTCCAAACCCCAATGAGAAATCCCAAGGTAGAAACTCCAAACCCCAATCCCCAAGGTAGAAACTCCAAAACCCAAAACCCCAATGAGAGATCCCAAGGTAGAAACTCCAAAACCCCAATCCCAAGGTAGAAACTCCAGAACCCCAATCCCCAAGGTAGAAACTCCAGAACCCCAATCCCAAGGTAGAAACTCCAAATCCCCAATGAGAGATCCCAAGGTAGAAACTCCAAAACCCCAGTGAAGGATCCCAAGGTAGAAACTCCAAAACCCCAGTGAAGGATCCAAGGTAGAAACTCCAGAACCCCAATCCCAAGGTAGAAACTCCAAAACCCCAATGAGAGATCCCAAGGTAGAAACTCCAAAACCCCAATCCCAAGGTAGAAACTCCAAAACCCCAATGAGAGATCCCAAGGTAGAAACTCCAAAACCCCAGTGAAGGATCCCAAGGTAGAAACTCCAGAACCAATGAGAGATCCCAAGGTAGAACCTCCAAACCCCAATCCCAAGATAGAAACCCAAAACCCCAATCCCAAGGTAGAAACTCCAAAACCCAATGAGAAAATCCCAAGGTAGAAACTCCAGAACCCCAATCCCAAGGGTTAGAACCTCCAAAACCCCAAGGAAGCATCCAAGGTAGAACCTCCAAAACCCCAATCCCAAGGTAGAACCTCCAAAACCCCAATCCCAAGGTAGAACCTCCAGAACCCCCAATCCCAAGGTAGAACCTCCAGAACCCCAATCCCAAGGTAGAACCTCCAGAAACCCCAATCCCAAGGTAGAACCTCCAGAACCCCAGTCCCAAGGTAGAAAGTCAAAACCCCAATCCCAAGGTAGAAACTCCAAAATCCTCAAGGAAGCATCCAAAGGTAGAACCTCCAAAACCCCAATCCCAAGGTAGAACCTCCGGAACCCCAATCCCAAGGTAGAAACTCCCAATCCCCAATCCCAAGGTAGAAACTCCAAATCCCCAATGAGAGATCCAAGGTAGAACCTCCAGAACCCAATCCAAGTAGAACCTCCAAATCCCCAATCCAAGGTAGAAACTCCAAAACCCCAGTGAAGGATCCCAAGGTAGAAACTCCAAAACCCCAGTGAAGGATCCCAAGGTAGAAAACACCAAACCCCAATGAGAGATCCCAAGGTAGAAACTCCAAAACCCCAATCCCAAGGTAGAAACTCCAAAACCCCAATCCCAAGGTAGAACCTCAGAACCCCAATCCCAAGGTAGAAACTCCCAATCCCCACTGAAGCCTCCCAAAGTAGAAGCTCCAAACCCCAAAGCGCCGCCGCGCGAGCTCCCAAAGTAGAAGCTCTCAAACCCCAAAGCGCCGCCAGCGCGCGCGCCCGAATCCCACCCCGAACTCCCTCCCCTGTCTCGTGTCCCCTGCTGGCAGACAAAGAAGGGCGTGAAGAGGAAAGCAGACACCACCACTCCCCACCACCATGGACCCCATCCACGAGTCGTCCTCGCTGCCCGCCGAGCCCAAGGCCGCCAAGCTGGGCCCGCGGCGCGAGGGCGGCCGGCCCCTCAAGCCCCCCAAGAAGGAGATGCCGGACTCGCAGCAGCACCCGCTGGAGCTGCGCGGCTCCAAGGCCTCGGAGCAGCTCAAATACTGCGGCGGCATCATCAAGGAGATGTTCGCCAAGAAACACGCGGCCTACGCCTGGCCCTTCTACAAAACCCGTGGACGTGGAGGCGCTGGGGCTGCACGACTACTGCGACATCATCAAACACCCCATGGACCTCAGCACCATCAAGGTGAGCGGGGAATGGGGGGGAAATATGGAAATATGGGGGGGTTTGGGGGAAAAATGGGGATTATGGGGGGAAATAGGGGGATATAATGGGGATTATGGGGGGGAAATGGGGGGGTTTGGGGGGACAACTGGGGATTACGGGGGGGGAAATGGGGGCTTTAAGGGATAAAATGGGGTTTTAAGGGGATAAAATGGGGAATTTTGGGGGTGAAATGGGGTTTTAAGGGGATAAAATGGGAATTTCAGGGGAAAATTGGGGTTGTAAGAGGATAAAATGGGGTTTTAAGGGGATAAAATGGGAATTTCAGGGGGGAAAATGGGGGGAAATATGGGGGGTTTGGGGGAGGAAAATGGGGGTTTTAGGGGGAAATGGGGGGAATGGGGGGGATAAATGGGGATTATGGGGGGATAAAATGGGGATTATGGGGGGAAATGGGGGAAATGGGGTTGTAAGGGGATAAAATGGGAATTTTGGGGGGGGAAATGGGGATTATGGGGGGGGAAATGGGGGTTTGGGGGGATAAATGAGGATTATGGGGGTTTTAAGGGGATTAAAATGGGAATTTTGTGGGGGAAATGGGGTTGTAAGGGGATAAAATGGGGTTTTAAGGGGATAAAATGGGAATTTCAGGGGGAAATATGGGGGGGGTTGGGGGAGGAAAATGGGATTTTAGGGGGAAATTGGGGGGTTTGGGGGGATAAATGGGGATTATGGGGGGGGGAATGGGGGTTTAAGGGGAAAAATGGGAATTTTGGGGGGAAAAACGGGGGAAATATGGGGGGGGTTGGGGGAGGAAAACGGGGTTTTAGGGGAAATGGGCGTTTAAGGGGATAAATTGGGATTATGGGGGGGGAAATGGGGATAAAATGGGGTTTCAAGGGGATAAAATGGGAATTTTGGGAGGAAGAATGGGAATTTCAGGGGGAAAATGGGGGGGAATGGGGAGAAGTGGGGGTTTGGGTGAATAAAATATGGGGAAAACGGCATTTTAAGGGGATAAAATGGGGTTTGGGGGCTAAAACCAAGATTTCAGGGGAATTAAATGGGATTTGGGGGGGGAAATGGGGATTTGGGGATTTGGGGGGGAAAAATGGGGAAAATGGACAAAAAAAAGGGATTTTTGACCAAAAAAAGCCATTTTCATGGATTAAAAAAAGCGTTCTTTTGACCAAATCCAGTTGTTTTTATAGACCAAAAAAAGGGGGTTTTGGACCAAAATAAAGTATTCTTTTGACCAAAAATAGTCATTTCCATGAACCAAAAGGATTTTTTTTGGACCAAAAATACTCATTTCCCTGGCCTAAAAAAGGGGGTTTTTAGGGTTTTTACCCAAAAAAAAATTTTTTTTTTTTTTTTTTGCCCAACCCTGCCCCATGAACCTCCCATCCCAGGTGCTGAATTCTCCTGGAATTGCCCCAGAATTGCCCATTTTTGGTGTTTTTTTCCTCATTCCCGTTGCAGTCCAAGCTGGAGGGCCGGGAGTACCGCGACGCTCAGGAGTTCGCGGCCGACGTGCGGCTGATGTTCTCCAACTGCTACAAGTACAACCCCGCCGACCACGAGGTGGTGGCCATGGCCCGCAAGCTCCAGGTGAGGATTCCCAACTTTCCACAGGAAAATCCCTTTTTTTTTTCCCCAGCAGGATTTGCAAAAAAAAAAACCAAAAAAAACCCCCAAAAAATCAGAATAATCAAAATACGATGACTCAGCAAAAAAAGGATCCCCAAGAAATTGGGATGATTTGTTGTTGAAGTGAAGCAATTGGAATTGGAATTTTGAATTCCCAAATTTCAGGAAAATTCCATTTTTTTCCCCCCAGCAGGATTTGCAAAAAAAAAAACCCAAAAAAAATCTGAATAATCAAAATCCGATGACTCAGCAAAAAAACGACCCCCAAAAAATTGGGGGTGATTTGTTGTTGAAGCGAAGGAATTGGAATTTTGAATTCCCAAATTTCAGGAAAATTCCATTTTTTTCCCCCCAGCAGGATTTGCAAAAAAAAAAACCCAAAAAAAATCTGAATAATCAAAATCCGATGACTCGGCAAAAAAAGGACCCCAAAAAATTGGGGTGATTTGTTGTTGAAGCGAAGGAATTGGAATTTTGAATTCCCAAATTTCAGGAAAATTCAATTTTTTTTCCCAGCAGGATTTGCAAAAAAAAAACCAAAAAAAAAAACCCCAAAAAATCAGAATAATCAAAATACGATGATTCGGCAAAAAAAGGACCCCAAAAAAATTGGGGCGATTTGTTGTTGAAGCGAAGGAATTGGAATTGGAATTTTGAATTCCCAACGTTCTGGGAAAATTCCCAATGTTCCAAGAAAATTCCTTTATTTTTCCAGTGGGATTTGGGGGAAAAAAAATTGGAATAATCAAAAAATGTTGATTTGGCAAAAAAATTATTAAAAAAAAAATGGGGGAAATCCTTGAAAATTGAGGGAAATTCTTTAAAAAAGGAGTGAAAATCCTTGAAAATCCTTCAAAAGGAGTGGAAACTCCTGGAATGGATGGAGAGGAGAGTGGGCTCTGAATCCATGGTGTTATCGACGCTGGAAATGACCTCAAAATCATGGGGTCAACCAAAGATGACCCAAGAAGATCTGAAGAACTTGGAAAATGCAAGTTTTCAATGAGAAATTGAGGAAATTTTGTGAATTTTTGTCCCAAAACCACCTTGGAGATGGTTGAGCTCTCCACTGGGAATCCATGGTGGAGTTAAGGTTGGAAATTACCTCGAAAATTTTAGGAGTCAACCAAAGAACATGCAGAAGAACTCAAGAACGTGGAAAAAGCAACTTTTAAGTGAGAGATTGAGGAAATTTTGTGAATTTTCGTCCCAAAACCACCTTGGAGATGGTTGAGATCTCCACTGGGAATCCATAGGGGAATTGTGGTTGGAAAAGATCTCAAAAATCATGGGGTCAACCAAAGATGATCCAAGAAGATCTCAAGAACTTGGAAAATGCAAGTTTTAAATGAGAAATTGAGGAAATCCTACAAATTTTTCTCCCAAAACCACCTTGGAGATGGTTGAGCTCTTCAGTGAGAATCCATGGTGGAACTGACCTCGAAAATTTTGGAATCAACCAAAGATGATCCAAGAAGATCTCAAGAACTTGGAAAATGCAAGTTTTAAATGAGAAATGGAGGAAATTTTGTGAATTTTTGTCCCAAAACCACCTTGGAGATGGTTGAGCTCTCCAGTGGGAATCCATGGTGGAACCTCTCTAAGACCATCAACCAAAGGTGATCCAAGAAGATCTCAAGAACCTGAAAGTCGCAGCTTTCAAATGAGAAATTGAGCAAACCCCATCAATTCTCCCCCAAATCCACCTGGGACAGAGTCAGAATTCCAAGAAACTCCCAAAATTTCAGGGTCCCTCCCCCCACCCCACGTCCAGGTGTTGTTGACCTTTGGTGCAGGACCCACCTTTGGAGATGCCGCGGGTGCCGACGCCGCGGCCTCACCCGGGGCCGTTCCCCCTGTGCTTGCAGGACGTGTTCGAGATGCGCTTTGCCAAGATGCCGGACGAGCCGGAGGAGCCGGTGATCCCCGCCTCGTCCCCCGTGGTGGTCCCGCCCCCCACCAAGGTGGCCCCGCCCTCGTCCAGCGACAGCAGCAGCGACAGCTCCTCCGACAGCGACAGCTCCTCCGACGACTCCGAGGAGGAGCGGGGCGCAGCGCTTGGCCGAGCTCCAGGAGCAGGTGCGGGCTGGCCCAGGGCTTCTTCTGGTGGCGTTGGGTGGTCTTGGGGTCGTGGCTGGAGGTCAGGGATGGCCCATGATGGTCAGGCCCAGAGACAGCAAAATTGTTGGGTTTGCTGAGCTGAAATCGATGGGTTTGGAGACCCAGAATTGTTGGGTTTGGCGACCCGGAATCATTGGGTTTGGTGACCCAGAATTGTTGGGTTTGTGGACCTGGAATTGTTGGGTTTGGTGACCCAGAATCGTTGGGTTTGTGGACCTGGAATTGTTGGGTTTGCTGAGCTGAAATCAATGGGTTTGGAGACCCAGAATTGTTGGGTTTGGCGACCCGGAATCGGTGGATTTGTGACCGAAAATCGTTGGGTTTATGGACCTAAATCACTGGGTTTTTCAATCCAAAATCGTTGGGTTTGTAGACCCAAAATTTTGGGTTTGTTGACCCAAAATCATTGGATTCTTCTGACCGAAAATTGTTGGGTTTGTTGACCAAATTATTGGGTTCGTCAACCTGGAATCATTGGGTTTGTGGATCTAAATATTTGGGTTTGTAGACTCAGAATCGTTGGGTTTGTCAACCTGGAATTGTTGGGTTTGTAGATCCAGAATCATTGGGTTTGTGGACCCAAAATCATTGGGTTTATGGACCTAAATCACTGGGTTTTTCAATCCAAAATGGTTGGGTTTGTTGACCTGAAATCGTTGGGTTTGTAGACCCAAATTTTTGGGGTTGTTGACCCAAACTCATTGGATTCTTTGACCAAAAATTGTTGGGTTTGTTGACCAAATTATTGGGTTCATCAACCTGGAATCATTGGGTTTGTGCACCCAGAATCGTTGGGTTTGTCGACCTGGAATTGTTGGGTTTGTAGATCCGGAATCATTGGGTTTGTGACCCAAAATCGTTGGGTTTTTCAACCCAAAATCGTTGGGTTTGTCGACCTGAAATCGTTGGGTTTGCTGACCTACATTGTTGGATTTTTTGACCAGAATTGTTGGGTTTGTTTACCCAAAATCATTGGGTTTGTCGACCAAATTATTGGGTTCGTCAACCTGGAATCATTGGGTTTGTGGATCTAAATATTTGGGTTTGTAGACCCAAAACCATTGGGTTTGTGGACCCAGAATCGTTGGGTTTGTGACCCAAAATCATTGGGTTTGTCAACCTGGAATTGTTGGGTTTGTGGACCCAGAATCATCGGGTTTGTCAGCCCAAAATCGGTGAGTTTGGTGATCCAGAATCGTTGGGTTTGTAGATCCAAAATAGTTGGGTTTGTTGACCTAAAGTTGTGTTGGGTTGACCCCAAATTGTTGGGTTTGTTGACCCAAAATCCTTGGTTTGACCCAAAATCCTTGAGTTGGCTTGACCCAAAACTCAGTGACCAGGTGGGGTCATGGGTTGGGTTTGATGACCTGGAGGTCTCCATGGACCCTGGAGGTCTCCATTGACCAGGTGGGGTCAGTCATGGGTTGGGTTTGATGACCTGGAGGTGTCCATGAACCCTTGGAGGTGACAGTGACCAGGTGGGGTCAGTCATGGGTTGGGTTTGATGGCCCTGGAGGTCTCCATGGACCCTTGGAGATGACAGTGACCAGGTGGGATCATGGGTTGGGTTTGATGGCCCTGGAGGTCTCCATGAACCCTGGAGGTCTCCATTGACCAGATGGGGTCAGGGGTTGGGTTTGATGACCCTGGAGGTCTCCATGGACCCTTGGAGGTGACAGTGACCAGGTGGGGTCATGGGTTGGGTTTGATGACCCTGGAGGTCTCCATGAACCCTTGGAGGTGACAGTGACCAGGTGGGGTCATGGGTTGGGTTTGATGACCCTGGAGGTCTCCATGAACCCTTGGAGGTGACAGTGACCAGGTGGGGTCAGTCATGGGTTGGGTTTGATGACCCTGGAGGTCTCCATGGACCCTGGAGGTCTCCATTGACCAGGTGGGGTCAGTCATGGGTTGGGTTTGATGACCCTCGAGGTCTCCATGGACCCTTGGAGGTGACAGTGACCAGGTGGGATCATGGGTTGGGTTTGATGACCTTGGAGGTCTCCATGGACCCTGGAGGTCTCCATTGACCAGGTGGGGTCAGTCATGGGTTGGGTTTGATGACCTGGAGGTCTCCATGGACCTTTGGAGGTGACAGTGACCAGGTGGGGTCAGTCATGGGTTGGGTTTGATGACCCTCGAGGTCTCCATGGACCCTGGAGGTCTCCATTGACCAGGTGGGATCATGGGTTGGGTTTGATGACCCTCGAGGTCTCCATGGCAGAACTGCGCCCTGCTCTGGCTGAGAATCCTGGGCTCAGTCCCAGGTGGGACCTGACCTTCTGGAGAACTTGCCAGGCTCCCAACCTGTCCCCGTTGCCCACAGCTCAAGGCCGTGCACGAGCAGCTGGCGGCGCTGTCCCAGCCCCAGCAGAACAAACCAAAGAAGAAGGAGAAGGACAAGAAGGAGAAGAAGAAGGAGAAGCACAAAAAGAAGGAGGAGCTGGAGGACACCAAGAAGAGCAAAGCCAAGGAGCCGCCCCCCAAGAAGGCCAAGAAGAGCAACAGCAACAGCAGCGCCTCCAGGTGGGCCCTTCCCACAATTCCCTGGGGCGGTTTGGGGATCCCCCAGTGCTAATGAAGGTAATTCATTAATGAGGGACCTCGTGGCCCCAGGGGATGGGTGGGGTTGAGCCCAGCCTTGAGCTCAGCTCAGGGTTTGGGGCTGGTTCTTCTCCGTGGTGCTGGGGACACCTGGCTGGGCAGGTGGAGATGGGCTTGGGGTGTGCAGGAGCAAATTAAGCTCAGCTTTGGGTGTGCAGGAGCAAACTAAGCTCAGGTTTGGGTGTGCAGGAGCAAGTTGAGCTCAGCTTTGGGTGTGCCAGGAGCAAGTTAAGCTCAGCTTCGGGTGTCTGGGAGCAAATTAAGCTCAGCTTTGGGTGTCCAAAAACCAACTTGAGCTCAGCTTTGGGTGTCTGGGAGCAAATTAAGCTCAGCTTTGGGTGTCCAAAACCAACTTGAGCTCAACTTTGGGTGTGCAGGAGCAAGTTAAGCTCCGCTTTGAGTTTCTGAGTAAACCAGACCTAAACCACCATGCTTTGTTGGCATGGGCAGCAAGAAGGAGGTGGTGGCAGTGAAGTCCTCCACGTTCCATGAGTTAGGGCCGGTTTAGGCTGGGTTTAAGTCTAAACCCCCATTTTTTGGTCACACACACACCAAGAAGGAGGCGGTGGCAGTGAAGTCCTCCAGGTCCTGTGGATTAGGGCTGGTTTAGGTCAGGTTTAGACCAGGTTTAGGCCTAAACCCCCATGTTTTATGGGTGTGAGCATCAAGAAGTCGCTGGCAGTGAAGTCCTCCAGGTCCTGTGGGTTAGGGCTGGTTTAGGCTGGGTTTAGGTCAGGTTTAAGGCCTAAACCCCCATGTTTTATGGGTGTGAGCATCAAGAAATCGCTGGCAGTGAAGTCCTCCAGGTCCTGTGGGTTAGAGCTGGTTTTAGGTTGGGTTTAGACCAGGTTTAGGCTGGGTTTAAGCCTAAACCCCCACGTTTTATTGGCATGAGCAGCAAGAAGGAGCCGGCGCCGGTGAAGCCCAGCAAAGCCGCGCCCGCCTACGAGTCGGAGGAGGAGGAGAAGTGCAAGCCCATGTCCTACGAGGAGAAGCGGCAGCTGAGCCTGGACATCAACAAACTGCCCGGGGAGAAGCTGGGCAGGGTCGTGCACATCATCCAATCCCGGGAGCCCTCGCTCAAGAACTCCAACCCCGACGAGATCGAGATCGACTTCGAGACGCTGAAGCCGTCGACGCTGCGCGAGCTCGAGCGCTACGTCACCTCCTGCCTGCGCAAGAAGAGGAAACCCCCAGGTACCTCCAGACCCCAGAATTTGGGGGTTTTCAGCCCGATTTTACGGTGGTTTTGATCCCCAGGGTTGGGTTTTTTGGAGAGGTTTTGGAGGTGGTTTGGCGTCGCCAAGATGGCGGCGGGTGGGAGTCAAAATGGCGGCGGGTGGGATTCAAAATGGCGGCAGTTAGGATTCAAAATGGCGGCAGGTGAGATTCAAAATGGCAGCAGTTAGGATTCAAAATGGCAGCAGGTGGGATTCAAAATGGCGGCGGGTAGGATTCAAAATGGCGGCAGGTGAGATTCAAAATGGCAGCAGTTAGGATTCAAAATGGCAGCAGGTGGGATTCAAAATGGCGGCAGGTGGGATTCAAAATGGCAGCAGGTGGGATTCAAAATGGCAGCGGGGGGGATTCAAAATGGCGGCAGGTGGGATTCAAAATGGCGGCAGTTAGGATTCAAAATGGCGGCAGGTGGGATTCAAAATGGCAGCAAATGGGATTCAAAATGGCGGCAGTTAGGATTCAAAATGGCAGCAGGTGAGATTCAAAATGGCGGCCGCTGCTGGTCCCGTTTAGTTGCAATAATTCAAGATTTTATTTTAAAGTTAAAAGTTTTAAATTTTAGAATGCAGGTTTGCAGCAAAGCAGTTGGGATGAACCGGTTGGGTTTGGGCTGAACCAGTTGGGTTTAGGACCAACCAGTTGAGGCAAACCAATCAGTTTAGAACCAACCAGTTGTGATTAGGACAAGCCAGTTGGGTTTAGAGCCAACCAGTTGGTTTTAAGATGAACCAGCTGGGTTTAGGATGAGCCAGTTTGGTTTAGGACCAACCAATTGGGTTCAGGATGACCCAGTTGGGTTTAGAACCAACCAGTTGGGTTTAGAACAAACCAATTGAATTCAGGCTGCCCCAGTTGGGTTTAGGGTGACCCAGCTGGGTTTAGAACCAACCCATTGGGTTAAGAATGAACTGGTTGAGTTTGGAACCAACCGGTTGAGATCAGGCTGCCCCAGTTGGGACTCCCCAGTTGACTTCAGCCCATCCCAGCTGGGTCGAGGTTCCTGATCCCTGCTGACTTCAGCCCATCCCATTTGGGTTGAGTTCAGCCCATCCCAGTTGGGTCAAGGTTCCCATCCCAGTTGGGTTGAGGTTCTCATCCCAGTTGGGTTCAGCCCATCCCAGTTGGGTCGAGGTTCCTGATCCCCGCTGACTTCAGCCCATCCCTGTTGGGTTCAGCCCATCCCAGTTGGGTCAAGGTTCCCATCCCAGCTGGGTTGAGGTTCCCATCCCAGTTGGGTTGAGTTCAGCCCATCCCAGCTGACTTTAGCCCATCCCAGTTGGGTTCAGCCCATCCCAGTTGACTTTAGCCCATCCCAGTTGGGTTCAGGTTCCCATCCCAGTTGAGTTCAGCCCATCCCAGTTGACTTTAGCCCATCCCAGTTGACTTCAGCCCATCCCAGTTGGGTTGAGGTTCCCATCCCAGTTGGGTTCAGCCCATCCCAGTTGACTTTAGCTCATCCCAGTTGAGTTCAGCCCATCCCAGTTGGGTTCAGCCCATCCCAGTTGGGTTCAGCCCATCCCAGTTGACTTTAGCCCATCCCAGTTGGGTTCAGGTTCCCATCCCAGTTGGGTTCAGCCCATCCCAGTTGAGTTCAGCCCATTGCAGTTGAGTTCAGCCCATCCCAGTTGACTTTAGCCCATCCCAGTTGGGTTCAGCCCATCCCAGTTGACTTTAGCCCATCCCAGTTGGGTCAAGGTTCCCATCCCAGTTGAGTTTAGCCCATCCCAGTTGAGTTCAGCCCATCCCAGTTCAGCCCATCCCAGTTGAGTTCAGCCCATCCCAGTTGGGTTCAGCCCATCCCAGTTGGGTCAAGGTTCCCATCCCAGTTTTTGGGTGGACGTTCCCGTTCCCCTCTGACGCGCTCCCGTCGTTCCCTGCAGAGAAGCTCGACGTCCTGGCCGGCTCCTCCAAGCTCAAGGGCTTCTCCTCGTCCGAGTCGGAGTCCAGCAGCGAGTCGAGCTCCTCGGACAGCGACGACTCGGACTCAGGTTAGCGCCTCCTCCCTCCTTCCTCCTTCCCTCCTCTTCCTCGCTCCCGACCGATCCGACCGACCTTGTGGCAGAAATAAACTCGATTTCATCGCCGCCTTCGCCGTCCGCTCGTCTTTGGGGGAGAAATAGTTGGGGTTGAATTCCAGAGGGGGTCAAGTGTGGAGAAGGAGCAGAAATCCACAAAAAATTCCCAAAAAAAGAGAAAAAATCCCCAAAAAAAAGAGGAAAATATCCCCCCAAAAAGAAGAAAAAATCCCCAGAAATCTCCCCAAAAAAGAGCAAAAATCCCAAATAAAACAAAATAATCCCCCCCCCCCCCGAAAAAAAAAAAAAAAAAAACAGGATCTGGTGATTTTCCAGAATTTTTCCAGGATAAATCCAGAATTAAGAATCTTTGAACATTTTCGTGATTGTTTTAGAAAAATGTTAAGGAATTTCCCATCAATTTGGGGATCTTTGGATGAGGTTAAAAGGTTTTGTTGGAATTTTTAAACCTGACTTAGGAATGAGAAAATCCAGGGATTTGGTTTTGAATTCTTTCCCTGGATTTATCCTTTAAATCCTATTTTTATCTGGGTTTTTTTTTTCTGATTTTTTGCCTGATTTTCCATCAAATCCACCAAAATTAACAGGATTGGGATCATCCCAAATCCAGAACTTTAATTTTTCCCAAAAAATTGGTGGTTGGAAGGAGAAAAACCTGAAAAAGGCATTTTTGGGGATGAATTTCACTCCAAACCACCAAATCCAGATTTTTTTTTCCTAGAAAACTTTGATCTGCCCCAAATATTTTCCCCAAATCCGTTGATTTTTATGTTCCTTTTTCCAAGATTTCTCAGCCTTGGAAGCACCAATTCCTCCTTCCCTCAAAAACTTGGAAAATCGGAAAATTTGGAAAAAAATTGGATGTTTGGGAATAATAAAAGCCATAAAAGGACTCCAAAAATTCACTTTTTTCATGGAATTTTACCCCAGGATTTGGGAGTTCGGATCCGTCCGTCGGCGTTTCGCTGTTTGGGTGGGAATAAAATCAGGATTTTGGGGGAAATTTGGGGAAAAAAATCCCATAAATTTGACGTTTCTGCCCCAAAATCACCTGGAAGTGACGTTTCCGTTTTATCCCCATGGATCCGGGGTTGAAGGTTCATCCATGGGTTGGGTTGGGATCTCCAAAATCCGGGAGGATCCTTCTGGGAACGCGATCGCGACTCGGATCCGACAGCCGGGCAGGAACTCCGGGGTCATCCTTGGGTTGAAATCCATGAAATCTTTTTTGTGGACCAGAAAATTCCAATTCGGACCCAAAATCGGTGATGAAAGTTGGGATCATCCTTGGGTTGGGATCTCCAGGTGATCTCCATGGAACCTCACGATTCCACCTGGGACCCAAATTGGTGGTGGAGTTTGAGGTCATCCTTGGGTTGAAGTCCTTGGACCCAAAATTGGTGATGAAATTTGGGATCATCCTTGGGTTGGGCATCTCCAGGATCTCCATGGAACTTCACGATTCCAACTGGAATCCAAAATTGGTGATGATGAAATTTGGGATCATCCTTGGGTTGGGATCTCCAGGATCTCCAGGTGATCTCCATGGAACTTCATGATTCCATCTGGAACCCAACATCGGTGGTGGAATTTGGGATCATCCTTGGGTTGAAGTCCTTGGAATCTCCTTCTGGACCAGGAAATTCCAGCTGAGACCCAAATTTGGTGATGAAATTTTGGATCATCCTTGGGTTGGGAATCTCCAGGATCTCCATGGAACTTCACGATTCCACCTGGGACCCAAAATCGGTGGTGGAATTTGGGATCATCCTTGGGTTGAAGTCCTTGGAATTTCCTTCTGGACCAGGAAATTCCAGCTGAGACCCAAAACTGGTGATGAAATCTGGGATCATCCTTGGGTTGGGATCTCCAGGTGATCTCCATGGAACTTCATGATTCCATCTGGAACCCAAAATCAGTGCTGGAGTTTGGGATCATCCTTGGGTTGGGAATCTCCAGAATCTCCATGGAACTTCATGATTCCATCTGGGACCCAAAATCAGTGATGGAGTTTGGGATCATCCTTGGGTTGAAGTCCTTGGAATCTCTTTCTGGACCAGGAAATTCCAATTTGGACCCAAAACCGGTGATGAAATCTGGGATCATCCTTGGGTTGGGATCTCCAGGATCTCCATGGAACCTCACGATTCCACCTGGGACCCAAAATCAGTGCTGGAGTTTGGGATCATCCTTGGGTTGAAGTCCTTGGAATCTCCTTCTGGACCAGGAAATTCCAACTCGGACCCAAAACCGGTGATGAACGTTGGGATCATCCTTGGGTTGGGATCTCCAGGATCTCCAGGTGATCTCCATGGAACCTCACTATTCCAGCTGGGACCCAAAATTGGTGCTGGAGTTTGGGATCATCCTTGGGTTGAAGTCCTTGGAATCTCCTTCTGGACCTCGCGATTCCAGCTGGGACCCAGTGGCTGGGAATGAAGGTTGGGTCATCCTTGGGATTTCCAAAATCCGGGATGATCCCTCTGGACCTCGCGATTCCGACCGGGACCAGCAACCAGTGATGGAATTTGGGATCATCCTTGGGTTGAGATCCTTGGAATTTCGTTTTGGACCTCGCAAGTCCAACTGGGATCCAATGACTGGTGATGGAATTTGGGATCATCCTTGGGTTGAAATCCTTGGAATCTTCTGGACCTCGCGATTCTGATCAGGACCAGCAACCAGCGATGGAATTTGGGATCATCCTTGGGCTGAAATCCTTGGAATTTCATTTTGGACCTCGCGATTCCGACCAGGACCAGCAACCAGCGATGGAATTTGGGGTCATCCTTGGGCTGAAATCCTTGGAATTTCGTTTTGCACCTCGCGATTCCAACTGGGACCAACAACCAGCGATGGAATTTGGGATCATCCTTGGGTTGAAATCCTTGGAATCTTTCTCTGGACCTCAGATCAACAATTGGCGTTGAAGGTTGGGATCATCTTCGAGTTGGGATCTCCAAAATCCGGGATGATCCCTCTGGACCTCGCGATTCTGACTGGAACCCATCAACCGGCGATGGAATTTGGGATCATCATTGGGTTGAAATCCTTGGAATTTCATCTTGGACCTCACGATTCCAACTGGGACCAACAGCCCGCGATGGAATTTGGGATCATCCTTGGGCTGAAATCCTCGGAATCTCCTCCTGGGAACGCTGGGATTCCAGCTGGGATCGACCGATGGAATTTGCTGAGGTTCTGCCCCCGGAGCAGCGACGTTCCCAGGACGTCTCATCCCGTGGAATCCATGGATTTTCTCGGGATCTTTTTCCGACCGTTTTCCCTCCTTTTGTTTTTTGTTTTTTTTGGCGGCAAAATCCCCGATCCCCAATCCCAGAAATCCCTGGGGAATTCCAGCTCCGTTCCCTGAGGAGCTCCCGCCCCGTTCCCGATCGGCACCGTTGGGTTCGTCCGGAGCCGTTCCCCAATTAATTTTCTCTTCTTTTCCCCCCTTTTTTTTTTGGCAGAAATGGCGCCGAAGTTGAAGAAAAAAGGGCACTCGGGGCGGGAGCAGAAAAAGGTAGGAATGGGATTGGGATTGGGATTGGATCCATTCATTGGGTTGGGATCCATGGATTGGGGTTGGATTGGAGGTGGATCCATGGATTTGGATGGGATGGGATCCCTGGATTGGGATTGGAAAATGAGTTGGGTTGGGGTTGGATCCATGGATTTGGATGGGATCCATCAATTGGGTTGGGGATGGGATCCATCAATTGGGTTGGGTTTGGATCCACGGATTGGGATTGGATCATTCGTTGGATTGGGATCCATGGATTGGGATTGAGATCCATGGATTGAGATTGGATCGGTCGTTCTGATGACCAAAAGCCGTTTTTGATGACACAGAAGAACATTTTGGTGTCCAAAACCACCTTTAGATGACCCAAAAGGTCATTTCGACAACCAAAACACCATTTTGGTGTCCAAAACCGCATTTGGATGATCCAAGAGCTCATTTTGCTGTCCAAAACCACCTTTAGGTGACCCAAGAGCTCATTTTGACCACCAAAATTTTGATGACGACCAATTTTGCTGCCCCGCCAGCCCATTCCCTCCCACCCCCAAACCCCCTTTTTTCCTCCACCCCCACCAGAACATCTCCACTTCTTCCAACTCCTCCCTCCTTCTCCAGCACCACCACCAGAACATCTCCACTTCCACAGCACCACCACCACCACCACCAGAACATCTCCGCTTCTTCTAACTCCTCCATCCTTCCACACCACCACCACCACCACCCCACCAGAACATCTCCACTTCTTCTAACTCCTCTGTCCTTCCACAGCACCACCACCATCACCCCACCAGAACATCTCCACTTCCACAACACCACCACCAGAACATCTCCACTTCTCCTAACTCCTCCTTCCTTCCACAGCACCACCACCACCACCATCACCACACCCCACCAGAACATCTCCACTTCTTCTAACTCCTCCATCCTTCCACACCACCACCACACCAGAACATCTCCACTTCTTCCAACTCCTCCCTTCTTCCACAGCACCACCACCACCATCACCACACCAGAACATCTCCACTTCTTCTAACTCCTCCTCCTTCCACAGCATCACCAGAACATCTCCACTTCTCCTAACTCCTCCCTCCCTCCACACCACCACACCCCACCAGAACATCTCCGCTTCCACAGCACCACCACCACCACCAGAACATCTCTACATCTTCTAACTCCTCCCTCTCTCCACAGCACCACCACCCCACCAGAACATCTCCACTCCTTCTAACTCCTCCCTCCCTCCACAGCACCACCACCACCACCACCCCGCGGCGCCATCGCAGCCGCAGCCCGTCCCGCCGGCGCTGCCGCAGCCGCCGCAGCCGCCTCAGCCCGTCCCGCCGCCCGCCGCGCCCCTGAAGGCGTCGCCGCCGCCGCCGCCGCCCTTCGTGCCCGCGCAGGTGCCCGTCCTGGAGCACCCCTTGCCGGGCACCATGTTCGACACCATGGCCCACTTTGGCCAGCCCATCCTGCACCTGCCCCAGCCCGAGCTGCCGCCCCCGCCCCACCTGCCCCCGGCGCCGCCCGAGCACAGCACCCCGCCCCACCTCAACCAGCACGTGGTGTCTCCTCCAGGTGAGCCGGGGTCCGCCGAGAGGAGGAGGAGGAGGGTGCTGGGTGGGGAGAGGGAGGTTCTCGGGTCTTGGTGTCCATCATGGTTGTGTTGGGATGGCCCAAGAGGAAGAACATGGTGGTGGGTGGGGAGAGGGAGGTTCTTGGGTCTTGGTGTCCACCAGGGTCTTGTTGGGATGGTCCAAGAGGAGGAGGATGGTGGTAGATGGGAGAAAAGGGAGGTTCTTGGGTCTGGGTGTTCACCGTGGTCTTGTTGAGGTTCCTCACTCTTGGTGTTCAGTGTGGTCTTGTTGGTCCCAGCACCGTGTCCTTCCTGGCACATTCCAGAAGGAAAGGAGAGCATTGGGTGGGCGGGGCTGGGAGGTGTTGGACCATCCCCTGGAAGTTCTCCTGGTCCCACCACCGTGTCCTTCCTGGGACATCCCAGAATACCAACATAGGGTGGGGTTTGGGGTTGAGGGACCATCCCCTGCAGGTTCTCCTGGTCCCACTTCCGTGTCCTTCCTGGGACATGCTAGAGGGACAGTGTTGAGTGGGGCTGGAGGGTGATGGACCATCCCCTGAAAGTTCTCTTGGTCCCACCACTGTGTCCTTCCTGGCACATCCCAGAATACGAATATAGGGTGGGGTTTGGGGTTGATGGAACATTCCCTGGAAGTTCTCCTGGTCCCACCTCCGTGTCCTTCCTGGCACATTCCAGAAGGAAAGGAGAGCGTGGGGTGGGCGGGACCGGGAGGTGTTGGACCATCCCCTGGAAGTTCTCCTGACCTCACCACCGTGTCCTTGCTGGCACATCCCAGAATACCAATATAGGGTGGGGTTTGGGGTTGTTGGACCATCCCCTGCAGGTTCTCCTGACCTCCTGCGCCTCCTTCCTCCGCAGCTTTGCACAACGCTCTGCCTCAGCAGCCCTCGAGGCCCAGCAACCGGGCGGCGGCGCTGCCCCCGAAGCCTCCGCGGCCGCCGGCCGTGTCCCCGGCGCTGCCGCCGCCGCCGCCGCCGCAGCCGCTGCTCCCGCAGCCGCCGCTGCCGCAGCCGCCGCAGGTGCTGCTGGAGGACGAGGAGCCGCCGCCGCCGCCGGTGCCGCCCGCGCCGGTGCCGCCGCCGCCGGTGCCGCCGCCGCACCACAGCCTCCCCCTGAGCGCCAGCCAGATGCAGCTGTACCTGCAGCAGCTGCAGAAAGTGCAGCCGCAGACTCCGCTTCTCCCTTCAGTGAAGGTCCAGTCGCAGGCGGCGCCGCAGCCGCAGCCGCCGCCGCCGCCGCCTCCCCCGGCGCAGCTGCCGCCGCCGCCGCCGCCGTCGGCGCATCCCGCGGTGCAGCCGCTGCAGCCGCCGCCGCCGCCGCCGCGCCCGCTGCACCTGCAGCCGCCCCTGCCCTTCCCCGCGCACCTGGCGCAGCCGCCGGCGCCGCCGCAGCCGCCGCAGCAGCCGCAGCCGCAGCCGCCGCAGGTGCAGCAGCAGCAGCAGCAGCAGCAGCAATCGGCCAAAGCGCAGCAGGTCATCCAGCACCACCCGTCACCGCGGCAACACAAAAACGACCCCTACGGCAGCGGTGAGGCCGGAGGGACGGACAGACGGACACCGGGACGGGAGGGGCGGGGGCGGGCCATGGATGGATGGATGGATACGTGATGGACGGATGGATGGACACATGGAGGGATGGATGGACAGATGGATGGATGGATGGATGGACACATGGATGATGGATGGATGGATACGTGATGGACGGACGGACGGACACATGGAGGGATGGATGGACAGATGGATGGATGGATGATGGACGGATGGACAGACACATGGATTGATGGATGGATGGATGATGGATGGATGATGGATGGATGGACGGACACATGGAGGGATGGATGGACAGATGGATGCATGGATGATGGATGGATGGATGGACACATGGAGGATGGATGGATGATGGAGGATGGATGGATGGATGATGGATGGATGGATGGACGGACACATGGAGGGATGGATGGATGGATAGACACATGGATGATGGATCGACGGACAGACACATGGAGGGATGGGTGATGGATGGATGGATAGACACATGGATGATGGATGATGGATGGACAGATGGATGGATGATGGATGGATGGATGGATGATGGATGGATGGACAGACAAACACATGGATGGCTGGAGGGATGGATAGATGGACAGACACATGGATGATGGATGGATGGATGGATGGATGGATGGATGGATGGATGGATGGACGGACACATGGATGGATGATGGATGGATGGAGGGATGGATGGATGGACACATGGATGGATGATGGATGGATGGAGGGATGGATGGATGGATGATGGATGGATGGATGATGATGGACAGACAAACACATGGATGGATGGATGGATGGATGGATGGATGGATGGATGGATGGATGGATGGATGGATGGATGGATAGACACATGGATGGATGGGAAGGGTGGGGTGGAATCGCCCGGCGAGGGCTCAGCACGTCAGGGAGCTCTGAGAGTTTGATGCTGTTGGGGATCTCCAGGTGTTGGGGATCTCCAGGTGTTGAGGATCTCAAAGTGTTGAGGGTCTCCAGCTGTTAAGGATTTCCACATTTTGAGGATTTCCACATGTTGGGGATCTCCAGGTGTTGGGGATCTCCAGGTGTTGGGGATCTCCAGGTGTTGGGGATCTCCAGGTGTTGAGGGTTCCAGGTATTGAGGATCTTGATGTCCCTCAAGGCCATCTGGAGGTTCTTTGAGGAGGCTCCGATGTCCCTCAAGAACATTTTGGGGTTCTTTGGGGCCATTCCGATGTTCTTTGTGGGCATCCTGATGTTCCTCAAGGATGTTCTGGGATTCTTTGAGGAAACCCTGATGTTCCTTAAGAACACCTTGAGGGTTCTTTGAGGAACATCCTGATGTCCCTCAAGAACATTCTGGGGTTCTTTGAGGAAACTCCAATGTCCCTCAAGGACATTTTGGGGTTCTTTGGGGCCATTCTGGTGTTCTTTGAGGAACATCCTGGTGTCCCTCAAGAACATTTTGGGGTTCTTTGAGGAAACCCTGATGTTCCTGATGTTCCTCAAGAACATTCTGGGGTTTTTTGAGGAAACCCTGATGTTCCTCAAGGCCATCTTGAAGTTCTTTGAGGAACATCCTGATGTCCCTCAAGAACATTTTGGGGTTCCTTGGGGCCATTCTGGTGTTCTTTGATGAAACTTTGATGTCCCTCAAGAACATTTTGGGGTTCTTTGGGGCCATTCCGGTGTTCTTTGTGGGCATCCTGATGTTCCTCAAGGATGTTCTGGGATTCTTTAAAGGAAACCCTGATGTTCCTTAAGAACATCTTGAGGTTCTTTGAGGAACATCCTGGTGTCCCTCAAGGACATTCTGGGGTTCTTTGAGGAAACTCCAATGTCCCTCAAGGACATTTTGGGGTTCTTTGGGGCCATTCTGGTGTTCTTTGAGGAACATCCTGGTGTCCCTCAAGAACATTTTGGGATTCTTTCAGGAAACCCTGATGTTCCTTAAGAACATCTTGAGGGTTCTTTGAGGAAACTCCGATGTCCCTCGAGGACATTTTGGGGTTCTTTGAGGAAACCCTGATGTTCCTGATGTTCCTCAAGAACATTCTGGGGTTTTTTGAGGAAACCCTGATGTTCCTCAAGGCCATCTTGAAGTTCTTTGAGGAACATCCTGATGTCCCTCAAGAACATTTAGGGGTTCTTTGAGGAAACCCTGATGTTCCTGGTGTTCCTCAAGGCCATCTCGAGGTTCTTTGCGGAAACTCCGATGTTCCTCAGGAGAATTCCGGGTTTCTCTGGGGCCATCCTGGGGTTTTTTGGGGGCGCGCTGGGGTTGGTGACGGTGACGATGACGACGGTGACGACGGTGACTGACCGGTGCCCACCTGTTGCAGGTCACCTGCGGGAAGCCCCCTCCCCCCTCATGATGCCTTCCCCACAGATGCCGTTCCAGGGCCTCGTGCCTCAGTCGCCCCCTCAGCAAAACATCCAGCCAAAAAAACAGGTGAGGAACGGCGGGTGCGGGGTTTGGGGTCAGGTGAAACAACCTGGGTTTGGGTTTAGGGTTTGGGGTTTGGGTCAGGTGAAACAGAGTTTGGGTTTGGGGTTTGGGGTCGGGTGAAACAACCTGGGTTTGGGTTTGGGGTTTGGGGTTTGGGGTTTGGGGTTTGGGGTCAGGTGAAACAACCTGGGTTTGGGTTTGGGGTTTGGGGTTTGGGGTCAGGTGAAACAACCTGGGTTTGGGTTTGGGGTCAGGTGAAACAAGCTGAGTTTGGGTTTAGGGTTTGGGGTCGGGTGAAACAACCTGGGTTTGGGTTTAGGGTTTGGGATTTGGGTCAGGTGAAACAACCTGGGTTTGGGTTTGGGGTTTGGGGTCAGGTGAAACAAACAGAGTTTAGGTTTAGGGTTTGGGGTTTAGGGTTTGGGATTTGGGGTTTGGGGTCAGGTGAAACAACCTGAGTTTGGGTTTAGGGGTTTGGGTCAGGTGAAACAACCTGAGTTTGGGGTTTGGGGTTTGGGGATTGGGGTCAGATGAAAAACGAGTTTGGGGTTTGGGGTCAGGTGAAACAATCAGAGTTTGGGCTTTGGGCTTTGGGCTTTGGGTCAGGTGAAACAAACAGTTTAGGTTTAGGGTTTGGGGTTTAGGGTTTGGGATTTGGGGTTTGGGTCAGGTGAAAAACAACAGGTTTGGGGTCAGATGAAAAACGAGTTTGGGGTTTGGGGTTTGGGGTTGGGGTCAGGTGAAACAAGCAGAGTTTGGGTTTAGGGTTTGGGGTTTGGGGTCAGGTGAAACAACCAGAGTTTGGGTTTAGGGTTTGGGATTTGGGGTTTGGGTCAGGTGAAAAACAACAGGTTCAGGGTCAGATGAAAAACGAGTTTGGTGTTTGGGGTTTGGGTCAGGTAAAACAACCTGAGTTTGGGTTTGGGGATTGGGGATTGGGGATTGGGGTCAGGATTGGGATTTTAGGACGGATCCTAAACCCGGATTTCTGCAGGAGCTGTGAGCGGTGTCAGGGCCAGGATTGGGGTCAGGATTGGGATTTTGGGATGGATCCTGATCCCAATTTTCCCTGGCAGGAGCTGCGAGCGGCCTCGGTGGTGGGATTGGGTTTGGGATTGGGTTTGGGATTTTGGGATGGATCCTGATCCCAGATTTCCATGGCAGGAGCTGCGAGTGGCCTCGGTGTTGGGTTTGGGGTCAGGATTGGGGTTTTAGGGCCCATCCTGATCCCAGATTTCCATGGCAGGAGCTGCGAGCGGCCTCGGTGTCGGGATTGGGTTTGGGTTTGGGATTTTGGGATGGATCCTGATCCCAATTTTCCATGGCAGGAGCTGCGAGCGGCTTCGGTGTTGGGTTTGGGGTCAGGATTGGGATTTTGGGATGGATCCTGATCCCAGATTTCCATGGCAGGAGCTGCGAGCGGCCTCGATGTCAGGTTTGGGGTCAGGATTGGGGTTTTAGGGCCCATCCTGATCCCAATTTTCCGTGGCAGGAGCTGCGAGCGGCCTCGGTGTTGGGATTGGGTTTGGAATTGGGTTTGGGATTTTGGGATGGATCCTGACCCCAATTTTCCATGGCAGGAGCTGCGAGCGGCCTCGGTGTTGGGTTTGGGTTTGGGATTGGGTTTGGGATTTTGGGATGGATCCTGATCCCAGATTTCCATGGCAGGAGCTGCGAGCGGCCTCGGTGTCGGGTTTGGGGTCAGGATTGGGGTTTTAGGGCCCATCCTGATCCCAGATTTCCATGGCAGGAGCTGCGAGCGGCCTCGGTGTCGGGTTTGGGGTCAGGATTGGGGTTTTAGGGCCCATCCTGATCCCAATTTTCCATGGCAGGAGCTGCTAGCGGCCTCGGTGTTGGGTTTAGGGTGAGGATTGGGATTTTAGGGCCCATCCTGATCCCAATTTTCCATGGCAGGAGCTGCGAGCGGCCTCGGTGGTGCAGTCGCAGCCGCTCGGGGCGGGCAAGGAGGAGAAGCTGCACTCGCCCGTGATCCGCACCGAGACCTTCAGCCCCCCCCTGCGCCAGGAGCCCCCCAAGGGCCACCCCGAGGGCATCAAAGCGGCCCCGCACCTCCCCCAGCGTGAGTGCGGCACCCCCAGAACACAAAAAACCCAAAAATCCCCATTGGAATCCATTGAAACACCATTGAAACCCCATTGAAACCCCATTGGAATCCATTGAAACACCATTGGAATCCCATTGAAACCCCATTGGAATCCCATTGAAATCCATTGAAATCCCATTGAAACACCATTGGAATCCATTGAAACCCTATTGGAATCCCATTGAAACACCATTGGAATCCCATTAAAATCCCAATAAAATCCCATTAAAATCCCATTGAAACCCCATTGAAACACCATTAGAATCCCATTGAAATCCATTGAAATCCCATTGAAATCCATTGAAATCCCATTGGAATCCCATTGAAATCCCATTGGAATCTCATTGGAATCCCATTCAAATCCCACTGAAACCCCATTAAAATCGCATTAAAATCCCATTGGAATCCATTGCAATCCCATTGAAATCCCATTGAAATCCATTGGAATCCCATTGAAATCCCATTGGAATCCCTTTGAAATCCCATTGAAATCCCATTGAAATCCACTAAAATCCCATTAAAACCCCATTGAAATCTCATTGAAATCCATTGGAATCCCATAAAGTGCCACGGTGAGAGAGAAAACCCCAAAAAATTCCCATAAAATTTCATAGACAGGGAAAAACCCCCCAAAAAAATCCCATAAAATTTCATGGAGATGAAGAAAATTTTAAAATAAAAATTCCCCTATGGGAATGGGTCAAAAACCCCAAAAAACTCCAGTGTGGGAATGAGACCCCAACACCCCCCAAGTTTTGGGGTCAGAATCCCCGATTTTGGGGCCAAAATCCCAAAAATTTCCATTTTTGGTGTTTCAGGGCCAGAGCTGAAGGCGCTGGAGGGGGAGGGAGGAGCCTGGGCCACCCCAATTTTGGGATCGGAGACCCCCAGAATTCCCAATTTTGGGGTCGAAATTCCCAATTTTGGAACCATAAATCCCTGAAATTCCCAATTTTGGGCTCAGAATCCCCGATTTTGGGTCCAAAAAGGTGAAAATTTCCATTTTTGGTGTTCCAGGGCTGGAGCTGAAGCCCCTGGAGGGGGCGGAGGAGCCTGGGCCACCCCAATTTTGGGGTCAGAAATTCCCAATTTTGGGGTCAGAAATTCCCAGTTTTTGAGTCCCGAATCCATAGAATTCCCAATTTTAGGGCCATAAATCCCCTATTTTGGGTCCAAAAAGGTGAAAATTTCCATTTTTGGGTTTCAGGGCCGGAGCTGAAGCCCCTTGAGGGGTGGGAAGGGCACGGCCCAGCCCAATTTTGGGGTCAGAAATTCCCAATTTTTGAGTCCCAAATCCCCGGAATTCCCAATTTTAGGGCCATAAATCCCTGATTTTGGGTCCATAAAGGTGAAAATTTCCATTTTTGGGTTTCAGGGCCGGAGCTGAAGGCGCTGGAGGGCGGGGGAGGGGCGCGGGCCGTGATTCGTCCCCCGGAGCCGACCCCGCCCCCCCCGGACAAGGAGCGGCAGAAAACGGAGCCCAAAACCCCCGTGGCCCCCAAAAAGGTACCCAAAAACACCCAGTTTGGGGCAAAAATCAACAAATTTGGGGCTAAATCAATTTTTGGGAAAAAAAATCCCAATTTTTGGGGAAAAAATGCCAATTTTTGAGGGAAAAAAATGCCAATTTTTAGGGAAAAAAACCCCACGAATTTGGGGCAAAAAATCCCCAAGTTTTGGGGGAAAAAAAACCCAAATTTTCAGCAGGAGAAAATCAAATTTGGGGGGAAAAACCCCAAATTTTGGGCTAAGCCAATTTTTGGGGAAAAAAATCCTAATTTTTCGGAAAAAAATTCCTAATTTTGTGGGAAAAATCCCAATTTTTTGGGGAAAAAATCCCGAACTTTGGGAAAAAAAATCCTAACTTTTGGGGAAAAAAACACACAAATTTTGGGGCAAAAAATCCCCAAGATTTGGGGAAAAAAAACCCAAGTTTTGGGGGGGAAAAAATTTTTAGGAAAAAAACCCCCCACATTTTGGGCAAAAAACCTCTAATTTTGGGCTAAACCAATTTTTGGGGAAAAAATTCTCAATTTTTGGGAGAAAAATTCCCAATTTTGGGGGAAAAAAAAACAACCACAAATTTGGGACAAAAAATCCCCACGTTTTGGGGGGGGGAAAAAAAACAACCAAATTTTGGGAAAAAAAAAACAAATTTGGTGGATCCCAGAGCTCGTGGTTGGATCTGGGAGAAGCCCCTGAGATGCCACCAGGCTGAGGGACCTCCAGGGTTGGGTCTCAGAGAAGCCCCTGAGATCCCACCAGGCTGAGGGAGCAGGAGAAGCCCCTGAGATGCCACCAGGCTGAGGGAACTCCAAGGTTGGATCTCAGAGAAGCCCCTGAGATGCCACCAGGTTGGCTCCAGGTCCTCAGGACAGAGCCCCTGGAGGATCCCCTGGTGTCCAGCCGGGCTCTGGTGGGTCCTGGTGGGTCCCAGAGCTCGCGGTGGCCCCGCGGTGGCCCCGGCGGTGACCCCGTGTCTCCTGCAGGACCTGAAGATCAAGAACATGGGCTCGTGGGCCTCGCTGGTGCAGAAGCACCCGGCGGCGCCGGCGGCCGCGGCCAAGTCCTCGAGCGACTCCTTTGAGCAGTTCAAGCGGGCGGCGCGCGAGAAGGAGGAGCGCGAGAAGGCCCTCAAGGCCCAGGCCGAGCAGGTGGAGCGCGAGAAGGAGCGGCTCAGGAGGGAGCAGGAGAGGATGAGGTGAGGGCAGAGACCGCGGGGACGGCGGCGGTGGGGGCGCCACCAGGGGCTGCTCGGAGACCAGCAGAGACACCACAAACACCATGAGAGACACCAAAACCACCAGAAACACCATGAGAGACACCAAAAACACCACAAACACCATGAGAGACACCACAAACACCATGAGAGACACCAAAAACACCACCAGAAACACCACAAACACCATGAGAGACACCACAAACACCACCAAAAACACCAGAAACACCATGGGAGACACCAAAAACACCACCAAAAACACCAAAAACACCACCAGAGACACCAGAAACACCATGAGAGACACCAAAAACACCACCAGAAACACCACAAACACCATGAGAGACACCAAAAACACCACCAGGAACACCATGAGAGACACCACAAACACCATGAGAGACACCAAAAACACCACCAGGAACACCATGAGAGACACCACAAACACCATGAGAGACACCAAAAACACCACCAGGAACACCATGAGAGACACCACAAACACCATGAGAGACACCAAAAACACCACAAACACCATCAGGAGCTCCAGGGGCGCCACCAGGGGCTGCTCGGACACCACCAAAAACACCACAAACACCATGAGAGACACCAAAAACACCACCAAAACCACCACCAGAGACACCACAAACACCATCAGGAACACCAAAAACACCACCAGAAACACCACAAACACCATCAGAGACACCAAAAACACCACCAGAAACACCACCAAAAACACCACAAACACCATGAGAGACACCAAAAACACCACCAAAAACACCACCACCACCACCAGGAGCTCCAGGAGCGCCACCAGGGGCTGCTCGGACACCACCAAAAACACAACAAACACCATCAGGAACACCACAAACACCACGAGAAACACCACAAACACCATCAGGAACACCACAAACACCACGAACACCACCAGGAGCTCCAGGGGCGCCACCAGGGGCTGCTCAGACACCACCACAAACACCACAAACACCACCAGGAACACCAGAAACAACACGAGAAACACCACAAACACCATCAGAGACACCACAAACACCACGAACACCATCAGGAGCTCCAGGGGCGCCACCAGGGGCTGCTCAGACACCACCAGGAGCTGCTCAAACACCACCAGGGACACCAGAAACACCACCAGGAGCTCCAGGAGTGCCACCAGGGGCTGCTCGGACACCACTGGAGACACCACAAACACCACCAGAATCACCAGAAACACCACCAGGAACACCACAAACACCACCAGGAACACCAGAAATACCACCAGGAGCTGCTCAAACACCACCAGGAGCTGCTCAAACACCACCAGGAGCTGCTCAAACACCACCAGGAGCTGCTCAAACACCATCAGGAACACCAGAAACACCACGAGAAACACCACAAACACCACCAGAGACACCAGAAACACCATCAGGAACATCACAAACACCACCAGGGACACCACGAACACTTCTGGGCACTCCTGGTCACTCTGTGGTCACTCAGTGGTCACTCAATGATCATTGATGGTCACTGTGGTCACTCAGTCATGGTCAGTGGTCACTCAGTGCTCGCTCTGGTCACTCAATGGTCACTGTGGTCACTCAATGGTCACTCTGTGGTCACTCCCCAGGTCCCGTGAGGATGAGGAGGCCCTGGAGCAGGCCCGGCGGGTGCATGAGGAGGTTCTAGAACAGTCTGGGGGTTCCTGTAGGGTTCCTGGTCAATGGTCACTCAATGCTCAGTGATGGTCACTCAGTGCTCACTGTGGTCACTCAATGGTCACTCCTGGTCACTCCCCAGGTCCCGTGAGGATGAGGAGGCCCTGGAGCAGGCCTGGCGGGTGCACGAGGAGGTTCTAGAACAGTCTGGGGGTTCCTGCTCAATGATGGTCACTCAGTGGTCACTGTGGTCACTGATGGTCACTGTGGTCACTCAATGGTCACTCAATGGTCACTCTGTGGTCACTCTGTGGTCACTCTGCAGGTCCCGTGAGGATGAGGAGGCCCTGGAGCAGGCCCGGCGGGTGCACGAGGAGGTTCTAGAACAGTCTGGGGGTTCCTGTAGGGTTCCTGCTCACTGATGGTCACTGTGGTCACTCAATGGTCACTCAATGGTCACTGTGGTCACTCTGTGGTCACTCTGTGGTCACTCCCCAGGTCCCGTGAGGATGAGGAGGCCCTGGAGCAGGCCCGGCGGGTGCACGAGGAGGTTCTAGAACAGTCTGGGGGTTCCTGCTCACTGATGGTCACTCAATGGTCACTGTGGTCACTGTGGTCACTCAATGGTCACTGTGGTCACACTGTGGTCACTCCGCAGGTCCCGTGAGGACGAGGAGGCCCTGGAGCAGGCCCGGTGGGTGCACGAGGAGGTTCTAGAACAGTCTGGGTCACTCAATGGTCACTGTGGTCACTGTGGTCACTGTGGTCACTCCCCAGGTCCCGTGAGGATGAGGAGGCCCTGGAGCAGGCCCGGCGGGTGCACGAGGAGGTTCTAGAACAGTCTGGGGGTTCCTGTAGGGTTCCTGCTCACTGATGGTCACTGTGGTCACTCAGTCATGTTCAATGGTCACTCTGTGGTCACTGTGGTCACTCAATGGTCACTGTGGTCACTCTGTGGTCACTCTGCAGGTCCCGTGAGGACGAGGAGGCCCTGGAGCAGGCCCGGCGGGTGCACGAGGAGGTTCGGCGGCGCCAGGAGCAGCAGCAGCAGCAGCAGCAGCCGCCGGCGGCCCCGGGCTCGGTGTCGGTGCCCGGCTCGGTGCCGGTGCCCGGCTCGGTGTCCGTGCCCGGCTCGGTGCCCGCGGCCTCGGCGGCGTCGGCGGCGCCGCAGCCCCCGGGCCCGGGCGGCTCCTCCCAGGCCATGCTGGACCAGCAGCGGGAAATGGCCCGGAAAAGGGAGCAGGAGAGGAGGCGCAGGGAAGCGGTGAGGGAAGGGTTAAATGCACAGGGGAAAGGGGCACAAAAAATGGGGGGGGGATAATGGGAATATTCATGGAAAAGGGGCAGAAAAAATGGGGGGAAATTCACAGGAAAAGGGCACAAAAAATGGGGGAAATAATCGGAATATTCATAGAAAAGGGGCAGAAAAAATGGGGGAATTAATCAGAATATTTATGGAAAAGGGGCCCCGAAAATGGGGGAAATAATTGGAATATTCATAGAAAAGGGGCACAGAAAATGGGTGGAAATTCACAGAAAAGGGGCACAAAAAATGGGGGGAATAATGAGAATATTCATGGAAAAGGGGCAGAAAAAATGGGGGGAAATTCCCAAAAAAGGGTCCCTGAAAATGGGGAGAATAATCAGAATATTCACAGAAAACGGGCAGAAATAATGGGGGGAATAATGAGAATATTCACAGAAAAAGGGTCATGAAAAATGGGGGGAATAATCGGAATATTCATGGAAAAGGGGCAGAAAAAATGGGGGGAAATAATCAGAATATTCACAGAAAAGGGGTCATGAAAAATGGGGGGAATAATTGGAATATTCACGGAAAAGGGGCACAAAAAATGGGGGGAAATTCCCAAAAAATGAGGGGAATAATTGGAATATTCACAGAAAAGGGGCACAAAAATCTGGAAATTACCCCCAAAAAATCCAGAAGTTACCCAAAAAACCCGCCAAAAATGACCTAAAAAATGCCAAAAAAAAATCTAAAAGTGACCCAAAAATGCCCAAAATTACCCCAAAAATGCAAAAAATAAAGGCCAGAAATGTCCCTAACAATTCTGGAAATGACCTAAAAAATGCCCCAAAAAATCCAGAAATGACCCAAAAAAGCCCAAAATTACCCCAAAAAATAAAAGCCAGAAATGACCCCAAAAAATCCAGAAATTACCAACAAAAACCCCCTGAAAAATTCCCAATAAAAATGCAAAAAATACCCCAAAAATGCCCAAAATTCCCCCGAAATGCCCCAAAATTCCCCCCAAAAATCACCAAAAAATGGGGAAAAAATTTGCCTGGAATTTTTTTTCTATTTTTTCCCATTTTTTGCCATTTTTTGCCCTTTTTTGTTGCAGATGGCGGCGACGATCGACATGAACTTCCAGAGCGACCTCTTGGCCATTTTCGAGGAGAATCTTTTCTAGGAGAGGCGACTCCGGCCGGGAATTTTGACTTTTCCCAAAAAAAAAAAAGAAAAAACAGAAAAAAAAAAAAAAAAAAGAAATTAAATAAAAAAAAAACAACAAAAAAAAAACCCCGGAAAAGGAAAGGAAAAAAAAAAAAAAAAAAAAGGTGGAAAAATATCCCAAAAAAAAAAAAAGAAAAAAAAATTTTTCCTTTTTTTTTTTTTCTCTCTTTTTCCCTCTTTTTTTTTTTTTTTCTTTTTTTTTTTTTTTTTTTCTTTTTTCCTGGCCAAAAAAATGATAAAAAAAGGACAAAAAAATGAAAAAAAAAACCAAAAAAAAGCAAAAAAAAGTTCGGACTCTCCGTTAAATATCGGAAAAAATTCGGGAATGGGAGCGGGGGCGGGGCTGCCTTACCCCGGAATTCCAAGGTTTTTTTTCTTTATTTTCCCCTTTTTTTCCCTTTTTTCACACCAAAAACAACAAAAAAAACCCCACCAGAATTCCTGGGAATTCCTGGGATTTTCATTCGAATTTTGAATTTTTTTGGGGAATTTTTTGGGGAATTTTTTTGTGGTTTTTTTTCCCCAACGGCGGCGAAAAATATGGGAAAAAAAACCCAAAAAATTCCCAATTTTTTTTTTTTTTTTTTGGGTGGATTTGGGCGGATTTGGGGCTTTTTGGGGAGGAATTGGGGGGGGAGGGGGGATGGGGGGAGGGGCGCGGCCCCTCCCCCACCCGCGGCCTCAGGGACTCCCCCCCCTTCACCTTTGCCCATTTTCCCCCTCCTTTTTTAAATTCCCTTCCTTTCCCAAAAATTCCCTTTTTTCCCTGATTTTTTCCCCATTTTTTCCCCCAATTTTTAAAAAATTTTCCTGATTTTTTTTTATTTTTTCCAGATTTTTTTTTATTTTTCCCTGATTTTTTTTTTATTTTTCCCTGATTTTTTTCAATTTTTCTCCTGTTAATTTTCAATTTTCCTCCTGATTTTTTCAATTTCTCCACTGATTTGTTTCTCTCTAATTTTTCCCTTTTTTTCCCTATTTTTTCCTGATTTTTCTCCATTTTTCCCTGATTTTTTTCTTATTTTTCTCCTGATTTTTTCCTTATTTTTCCTGATTTTTCTCCATTTTTTCCTTATTTTTCCTGATTTTTTTCTGATTTTTTCCTGATTTTTTTTCCATTTTTTCCTGATTTTTTCCTGATTTTCTCCATTTTTTCCTGATTTTTTTCTGTTTTTTTTTTTTCAAATTTTCCCCCAATTTTTTCTTTTCATTTTCCTTGGTTTTTTTCTTTTATCCCTGATTTTTTCCTTCTTTTCATTTTTTCTTTTTTTCCTTTTCCACCCCTTTTTTCTCTTTTTTTTTCCATTTTTCTACATTTTTTAAATTTTTCCCTTTTTTTTTTCTTTTCTCCTCCTCCCATCCCTTTCCCTTTATTTTCCCTGATTTTTTATCATTTTCCCCCCTTTAATTCCATTTTTATTTTCCCCTTCAATTCCTTTTTTACTTTCCCCCTTTTCCTCATTTTAATTTGAATTTCTTCCTTCAAAATTCCCTTTTTTTCCCCATTTTTTCCCCCCATTTTTCCCCCCTTTTTTCCCCTTTTTTTCCCCATTTTTTCCCCCATTTTTCCCCATTTCCCCCCCGTTTTTTATGAATTTTTAATTTTTTAAATTTTCTCCCTCTTTCCCCCCTTTTCCCCTCCCTCCCCTCCCCCTTTTCCCCCCAAAATCGCCGCCACGCCCGGATTTTTTATTTTATTTTATTTTTAAATAATTCCCTTTTTTTTCCCATTTTAATTCCCATTTTTTTATTATTTCTCGACCCCTTTTTACCCCAAATCCCGGGAATTCTCCCCGTTTCCCCCTCCCCCCCCCGGGGTTGGATTAATTATTAATAATTAATTAATTTTATTTGGGTTGGGTTTTTTTCCCCGCCGGGGTTTCGCCGATCGTGGAATAAAAAACGCTGCGAGTTTGGTTTTGTATAAAAAAACACCAAAAAAACAACAAAAAAAAAAAAAAAAAGGAATTTTTCAGGTTTTTTATCCCAAAAATCCCCAAAAAAATTTAAAAGGGGAGGGGAGGGGGGGGAAAAAATGGGTGGGAAAGGGGAAAAAAATGGGAATTAAAATTTCAAATATTTGAATTAAAAGGGGAATTTAAGGGAGTTGAAACCCCCAGAAATTGGGAATTAAAAAATTTAAAATTTTGAATATTTCACTGGAAATCAACAGAAATTGGGAACTTAAAATCGAAATTTTTAATATTTAATGAAAGTTGGCAGAAATTGGAATTTTAAATTTTAAATTTTGAAGGTTTCAGTGGAAATCGACAGAAATTGGGAATTTCAAATCCAAATTTTGAAAATTTTGACAGAAATCGACAGAAATTGAGACTTTTAAAAGTGGAAGTTTTGATGCTTTCAAACCAAAATTTAAATTGAAATTTTTTTTTAATTTTAAAAAACCAAAATTTGACCTGAAATGGCCAAAAATTGAGATTTGAAAAAGTGAAGTTTGAGAAATGGAAAGTCTAAAATTGACAGAAATTGAGATTTATTTTTTTATTTAAATTGAATTTTTTCAATTGGATTTTTAAATTTTTTAGGGTTTAAATTTGTGAAAAGGGGGAAAGGGGAAAATTGGGGGGAAAACAGAAAAATGAGAAGAGGCCCAAAAAAACCCAAAGTTTTAAAATGGCCAAAAATATAAAAATAATGGAGGGAAAATTGAATTGAAAAACGGGAGGGGGTGAAAAAATTTAAAAAATAGGAAAAAAAAGGTCCAAATATTAAAAATAAATAAAAATTGTGAGGATAAAAAGGCCCCAAAAGACGAGAAAGGGGCAAAAAAAATGAAAAGTAAAAAGGAGCAAACGGGGAAAAGCCAAAAAACGCCACAAGAAATGAAAAAAAAGAGAAAAAGCCAAAAAACGCCACAAAAAATGGAAAAAAAAGGAGAAAAAACCAAAAAATCCCCAAAAATGCCCCAACTCCGCCCACAAACGGCCCCGCCCCCTCAGGAGCTCCAGGCCACGCCCCTCGCGCGTTCATTGGTTGGTCCCGGGATGCTCCACCCCCTTTCCCGCGCTGTCCAATCAGCGCTCGGGGGCGGGGCCAGCGCGGTTTGAGGCGGAAGCGGCGCTCGGGGGGGGGGGCGGGGGCGGTGACAGCGCCGCGATCGCGACAGAGGCGACAGAAATTCCCCCCCGGACCCCCCCGCTGTCGCGACAGGTCGGTGATGGCGGCGGGAGCCCCGCGATGTCGCGATAGAGGCGGCGGGAAAAGCCTCGGAGCGGAGGGGACGGGGCAATGTCGCGATAGGGGCGGGGACACGGCGGGGGAGGGGACACAGGGCGGGGATGTCGCGATAGGGGCGGGATCGGGAGAGCCCCGCAGCGGCGACAAGGACAAGGACAGCTCAATGTCGCGACAGCGCCGCCGGGGAGGGAGACGGCGCCAAGCACGGGGACACTTCAATGTCGTGACATGTCCTGGTGGCCAGGACACCGCGACAGGAGCGCCCCCTTGGGGACAGGGACACCCCGATGTCGTGACAAGGACACCCCAGGGACAGGGACACCCCAGGGACAGGGACACCCCGATGTCGTGACAGGGACACCTCAGGGACAGGGCCACCCCAATGTCGTGACATGTCGTGACAAGGACACAGTGGCAGGGACACCTCAGGGACATCCTCGGGGACAGGGCCACCCCGATGTCGTGACATGTTGTGACAAGGACACCGTGACAGGGACACCCCCCAGGGGTCAGCCCCGGATGTGGCACCTCAGGGCTGTGGCGGGGCCACCCTGGGGTGGGGACACCCGGACAGTGGGGACACCCAGGGGTGGGGACACCCAATGGTGACACCCAAGGGTGGGGACACCTGGACAACGGTGACACAGGGACAATGGGGACACTCCTGACAGTGGCACCCTGGGGATGGGGACACAGGGACAATGGTGACACCCAAGGGTGGGGACACTTGGACAGTGGGGACACAGGGACAATGGGGACACTCCTGACAGTGACACCCTGGGGTGGGGACACTGGGACAATGGGGACACCCAAGGGTGGGGACACCCAGACCATGGTGACCACACGTGGCGTCAGACCCTGGGAGTGGTGACACTCCTGATGGGGAGGGACACCCAGGGGTGGGGACACCGGGACAGTGGTGACACCCAGGGGGTGGGGACACTGGGACAATGGTGACACCCAGGGGTGGTGACACTCGGACAATGGTGGCACAGGGACAATGGGGACACCTGGGGATGGGGACACCCAAGGAATGGGGACACTGGGACAATGGGGACACCCAAGGAATGGGGAACATTCTGGGGGTGGTGACATCGGGACAATGGTGACACCCAGGGGTGGGGACACCCAGACAATGGGGACACCCAGACAGTGGGGACACCCAAGGGTGGTGACACCCAGACGATGGTGACACTGGGACAATGGGGACACTGGGACAATGGGGACACCCAGGGGGTGGGGACATCCCTGACAGTGCCACCCTGACAGTGCCACCCTGGGCATGGTGACACTCAGGATGTGGTGACATCCAAGGAATGGGGACATCCTGGGGGTGGTGACACCAGGACAGTGGTGACACCCAGGGGGTGGTGACACTCAGGATGTGGTGGCACCCGGACAATGGTGACACCAGGACAGTGGTGGCACCCAGGGGGTGGTGACATCCAAGGAATGGGGACACCCAGGGAGGTGGTGACACCCAGACAGTGGTGACACCCCGGGGGTGGTGGTGACACCCAGGGGTGGTGGTGGTGACACCCAGGGGTGGTGGTGGTGACACCCCTGACGGTGCCACCCGGGGGCGGGGACAGCCGGGAACTGGGACAGGTGGTGGCACAGCCCGGGAACGGCACCGCAGTGGCCTTGGGGACAAGGTGGGGACAGTGGGGACACCCTGGGGACACCCTGGGGGGGCCCTGGGGACACTGTGGGGACAATGGGGACAATGGGGACACTGTGGAGGCCGTGGGGACACTCTGGGGACAATGGGGACACCCAGGGGACTTTGGGGACACCCTGAGGCCTGTGGGGACAATGGGGACACTGTGGGGACCCTGGGGACAATGGGGACACTCTGGGGGCTTTGGGGACACTCTGGGGACAATGGGCACAAGGTGGGGACAATGAGGACACCAAGGGGACTTTGGGGACACTTTGGGGGCTTTGGGGACAAGGTGGGGACACTTTGGGGGCTTTGGGGACAATGGGGACAAGGTGGGGACACTGCAGAGGCTGTGGGGACACCCTGGGGACAATGGGGACACTCTGGGGACAGGGCCACCCTGGCATGGGGACACCCTGGGGACAATGGGACATTGGTGACGAGGCCACCCCTCCATAGGGGACACCTTGGGGATGGGAGATCCAGGTGTGCCCGCAGTGTCCCCACAGTGTCCCTGCAGTGTCCCCACAGTGTCCCCACAGTGTCCCCACATTGTTCCTACATTGTCCCCAGCTGTCCCCGTGTCCCTGTCCCTCTGTCCCCATGTCCCCCCTGGTGTCCCCATGCCTCGCCACCTGCTGTCCCCAGCTGTCCCCGTGTCCCTGCTGTCCTCGCTGTCCCCGTGTCCCTGTGTCCCCAGCTGTCCCCGTGTCCCCGTGTCCCTCTGTCCCCATGTCCCCGTGTCCCTCTGTCCCCAGCTGTCCCTCTGTCCCTCTGTCCCCATGTCCCCGTGTCCCTGTGTCCCCAGCTGTCCCTGTGTCCCTCTCTCCCCAGCTGTCCCCAGCTGTCCCCGTGTCCCCATGTCCCTGTGTCCCCAGCTGTCCCTCTGTCCCCATCTCCTGTGTCCCTCTGTCCCCAGCTGTCCCCATGTCCCTGTGTCCCCAGCTGTCCCCAGCTGTCCCCGTGTCCCTGTGTCCCTCTGTCCCCAGCTGTCCCCATGTCCCCGTGTCCCTCTGTCCCCATCTGTCCCCAGCTGTGCCCATGTCCCTCTGTCCCTGTGTCCCTCTGTCCCCATGTCCCCATGTCCCTCTGTCGCTGTGTCCCCATGTCCCCGTGTCCCCATCTGTCCCCAGCTGTCCCCATGTCCCCATGTCCTATCTGTCCCCATCTGTCCCCATCTATCCCCAGCTGTCCCCATCTGTCCCCAGCTGTCCCCAGCTGTCCCTCTGTCCCTCTCTCCCCATCTATCCCCAGCTGTCCCCAGCTGTCCCCATGTCCCCGTGTCCCTCTGTCCCCATCTGTCCCCAGCTGTCCCCATGTCCCCATGTCCCTCTGTCCCCATCTGTCCCCATGTCCCTCTGTCCCCATGTCCCCATGTCCCTCTGTCCCTGTGTCCCCAGCTGTCCCCGTGTCCCCGTGTCCCTCTGTCCCCATCTGTCCCCAGCTGTGCCCATGTCCCCGTGTCCCTCTGTCCCCATCTATCCCCATCTGTCCCCAGCTGTCCCCAGCTGTGCCCATCTGTCCCCAGCTGTCCCCATCTGTCCCCAGCTGTCCCTGTGTCCCCATCTGTCCCCATCTGTCCCCATCTGTCCCCATCTGTCCCCATCTGTCCCCATCTGTCCCCATGTCCCCATCTGTCCCCGTGTCCCTGTGTCCCCATGTCCCCATCTGTCCCCATCTGTCCCCAGCTGTGCCCATGTCCCCAGCTGTCCCTCTGTCCCCATGTCCCCATCTGTCCCCATCTGTCCCCAGCTGTCCCCATTTGTCCCCATGTCCCCATCTGTCCCCATCTGTCCCCATCTGTCCCCATCTGTCCCCATGTCCCCATCTGTCCCCAGCTGTGCCCATGCCTCGCCGCCTGCTCTCTCTCCTCCTGGCCCCCACGCGTTTCCTGCTGTCCCTTCGGGCTCTCCTGGCCCGGGGTGGCCTCGCGGTGGCCGCGGTGGCCTCGGGCGCGGCCTTCGCGCTCTGGGCGCTGGCGCTGCTGCTGCGCCGGGGGCCCCGCGCCGCCCTGGGCCGGCAGCGCCGGGACGCGGCCCCGCCCGGGCTCAGCGACGGCGCCTTCGGGGAGCACCGGCACCTGCGCCTCGGGGTACGGGGGGACCGGGGGGACTGGGGGGGTCCTGGGGGCTCCTGGGAGGGTCCTGGGGGGTCCTGGCGTTGATTTGGGGGCGTTTTAGGGGGATTTTGGTGGGGTTTTTGGGGGGTCCTGGGGGGATTTTGGGGGGTCCTGGGGGGATTTTGGGAGGTCCTGAGGGGGTTTGGGGGAATCCTGGGGGGGGGGGTCCTGGGGGGTTTTGGGGGGGTCCTGGCGTTGATTTGGGGGCGTTTTAGGGGGATCTGGGGAGGGTTTGGGGGGGGCTTGAGGGGGATTTGGGGGGGCCTGGGGGGTCCTGGGGAAATTCCAGGGGTCCTGGCCTTGATTTGGGGGCATTTTAGGGACATTTTAGGGGGGATTTTGGGGGGTCCTGAGGGGGTTTAGGGGTGAGGGGGTTTAGGGGTGGGGGGGTTGGGGGACTTGAGGGGCTGATTTGGGGGTGTCCCCCCCCCCCCCCCAATGTCCCCTGTGTCACCCCCAATGTCCCTCGGGTGTCCCCAGAGCTCGGGGCTGCGCCTCCATTACGTCACTCGGGGTCCCCCCGGTGCCCCCCTGATGCTGCTGCTCCACGGCTTCCCCCAGAACTGGTCAGTGCCACCGAGGGGCCCCAAAGTGTCCCCAAAGTGTCCCCAAAGCGCCCCCAAAGTGTCCCCAGGGGTCCTCAGATGTCACCTGGGTCTCCCACGGGTCCCCCAAGGTGTCCCTGGGTGTCCCCAAGAGTTCCCAGGTGCCCCCAGGCGTCTCCCATGGGTCCCCCCAAGGTGTCCCCAAGGGTCCCTCAAATGTCCCCAGCTGTCCCCACACCCCCCTCCTCCTGTCCCCTTGGTGTCACCACTGCCCCACGGTGTCCCCAAGTGTCCCTCAAGCGTCCCCATGTCCCTCAGGTGTCCCCACACCCCCTCTGCCCCATCCCCCTGGTGTCCTCGGTGTCCCCAGGTGTCCCCAGTGTTCCCAAGGTGTCACCGCTGTCCCTGGGTGTCCCCAAGGTGTCCCCAAGGTGTCCCCAGGTGTCCCAGGTGTCACCGCTGTCCCCGGGTGTCCCCAAGTGTCCCAGGTGTCACCGCTGTCCCCGGGTGTCCCCAAGGTGTCACCGCTGTCCCCAGTGTCCCCAGGTGTCCCCGCTGTCCCCAGGTGTCCCCGCTGTCCCCAAGGTGTCACCACTGTCCCCAAGGTGTCACCACTGTCCCCGCTGTCCCTGGTGTCCCCGGTGTCCCCAAGGTGTCCCCACTGTCCCCAGGTGTCCCCAGTGTCCCCAAGGTGTCACCGCTGTCCCCGGCTGTCCCCGCTGTCCCCAAGGTGTCCCCAGTGTCCCCAAGGTGTCCCCGCTGTCCCCAGGTGTCCCCGCTGTCCACAAGGTGTCCCCGCTGTCCCCAGGTGTCCCCGCTGTCCCCAGGTGTCCTCGCTGTCCCCAGTGTCCCCGGGTGTCCCCGCTGTCCCCAAGGTGTCCCCGCTGTCCCCGCTGTCCCCAGGTTCTGCTGGCGCCACCTGATGCAGGAGTTCAGCGCCCGGTTCCGGGTGGTGGCCCTGGACCTGCGCGGCTACGGGGACTCGGAGAAGCCACCGGGCAGGGACAGCTACCGGCTGGAGCTGCTCCTCGGGGACATCCGCGACGTCATCGAGGCCCTGGGGACGCCGGCGGCCGCCCCGCGCTGCGTCCTGGTGGGGCACGACTGGGGAGGGGTCCTGGCCTGGGAGGTGGCCTCGAGCCACCCCCGGCTGGTGGAGAAGCTGGTGGTGATGGACGCGCCCCACAGGGGCGTGATGGCAGGTGACAGGGGGGACAGCGGGGACACAAGGGGACAGAGGGGACAGCGGGGACACAAGGGGGTGTTGGGCGGGGACACAAGGGGGTGTTGGGGACATTGGGGACATTGAGAATGCTGGGGACATTGGGTGCATTGGGGGCATTGGGACATTGAGGATATTGGGGACACTGGGGACACTTGGAGATGTTGGGGACATTGGGGGCATTGGGGAAAATGGGGGCATTGGGGACATTGGGGACACTTGCGGATGTTTGGGACATTGGGGGCATTGGGTGCATTGGGGACACTGGGGACACTTGGGGATGTTGGGGATACTGGGGACATTGAGAGCATTGGGGACATCGAGGATCTTGGGGACATTGGGGGCATTGGGACATTGGGGATATGGGGGACACTGGGGACACTTGGGGATGTCGGGGACAGTGGGGACATTGAGGGGATTGGGGACATTGGGGACATTGAGAGCATTGGGGGCATTGGGACATTGAGGATATTGGGGACACTTGGAGATGTTGGGGACATTGGGGGCATTGGGGACACTGGCGATGTTGAGGACGCTGGGGACACTGGGGACATTTGGGATAATGGGGGCATTGGGGACACTGGGGACACAAGGGGATGTTGGGGACAGTGGGGACATTGAGGGCATTGGGGACATTGGTGTTGGGGACATTGGGACATTGGTGACATTGGGGATGTTGGGGACATTGGGACATTGGCGACATTGGGGACACGAGGGGACAGCGGGGACACTGGGGACTCTGGGGACACTGGGGACGTTGGGGACATTGGGGATGCTGGGGACATTGGGGATGCTTGGGACATTGGGGACATTGGGTGCATTGGGGACATTGGCGACATTGGGGACACAAGGAGATATTGGGGACATTGGGGATGTTGGGGACATTGGGGACACTGGGGACACTTGCAGATGTTGGGGACATTGGGGGCATTGGGGACACAAGGTGATGTTGGGGATACTGGGGACATTGAGAGCATTGGGGACATTGAGGACATTGGGGATATGGGGGACACTGGGGATACTTGGGGATGTTGGGGACATTGGGGACTCTGGGCACTGGGGACAGTGGGGACATGAGGGGATATTGAGGGGATTGGGGATATTGGGGACACTGGGATAATGGGGGCATTGGGGACACAAGGGGACATTGGTGACATTGGGGACACTGGGGGATATTGGTGACATTGGAGGTGTCCCTGTCCCCCCTGGTGGCCCTGTCCCCACGGTGTCCCCTCGCTGTCCCTGTGCCAGCCTTCACCGCCGTCACCCGTCGCAGCTGCTCCGTTCCTGTTACATGTTCCTGTTCCAGCTGCCCTGGCTGCCCGAGCTGCTGCTGTCCCTGGCCGACTTCCAGGTCAGACTGTCCCCTCTGTCACCTGCATGTCCCCTCTGTCACCTCCTGTCCCCTCCCTGTCACCTGCCTGTCCCCTCTGTCACCTCTGTCCCCTCCCTGTCCCCTCCATCCCCTCTCTGTCCCCTCCCTGTCCCCTCTGTCACCTCTGTCCCCTCCCTGTCCCCTCTGTCACCTCCCTGTCACCTGCCTGTCCCCTCTCTGTCACCTCCCTGTCCCCTCCATCCCCTCCCTGTCCCCTCTGTCCTCTCCCTGTCCCCTCTGTCACCTCTCTGTCCCCTCCCTGTCCCCTCTGTCCTCTCCATCCCCTCCATTCCCTCCCTGTCCCCTCTGTCCCCTCCCTGTCCCCTCTGTCCTCTCCATCCCCTCCATTCCCTCCCTGTCCCCTCTGTCCCCTCCCTGTCCCCTCTGTCCTCTCCATCCCCTCCATTCCTCCCTGTCCCCTCTGTCACCTCTGTCCCCTCTCTGTCCCCTCCCTGTCCCCTCGGTGCCATCTCCCACCCCAGGGAGCTCCTCAACAAGTCCCCAAAAGGGGCGCTGCCCATCCCCAAAGCTTTGTCCCCCTCTTTGTCCCCAATTTCGGGGGTGCTGTCACCACCCAGACCTTGTGTCCCCCTCTTTGTCCCCAATTTCGGGGGTTTGGTGTCACCCAGCCCCATTTCCCCCTTTTCGTCCCCAATTTCGCGGTTCCTGGCACCCCCCAACCTCCATTTTGTCCCCATTTTATCCCCAACTTTTTGGAGTCCTACTCCCCTCAGTCCGGATTTCCCCCATTTTGTCCCCAACTTTTGGGGTCTCTGTTTTGAGCCTTGATGTCACCCAGACCTCGCATCCTCCATTTTCTCATCATTCCTCCCATTTTGTCCCCAATTTTTGGGGTCCTGGCACCTCCCACCCCCAATTTCCCCCGTTTTGTCCCCAATTTTGGGTGCCCCCCCCTCGGTGTTCCCAATTTTGGGTGTTTCCCCCACTTTGTCCCCGATTTTCTGTGTCCCAGTTCTGGTGTCCCCCCAGCTTTGCTTTCCCCCATTTTGTCCCCAAATTTTCGGCATCCCCGCCATTTTGTCCCCAAATTTTCAGGGTCCTGACACTCCCAACCCCAATTTCCCCCGTTTTGTCCCCAATTTTGGGTTCCTGGCAACGCCCCAACCTCCATTTTGTCCCCAACTTTTGGGGTCTCCCTTTTTGGAGCCTTGATGTCACCCAGACCTCACATCCTCCATTTTCTCATCATTCCTCCCATTTTGTCCCCAATTTTTGGGGTCCTGACACTCCCCAACCTCCATTTTGTCCCCATTTTGTCCCCCAGTTTTTTGGGTCTCCATTTTTGAGCCTTGATGTCACCCAGACCTTGCATCCTCCATTTTCTCATCATTCCTCCCATTTTTTCGGGGTCCTGACACTCCCAACCCCAATTTCCCCCATTTTGTCCCAATTTTGGGGTCCCCAGCTGGTGCGGTGGTTCCTGACCAGCGCCCAGACCGGCATCCAGGACCCGGCCCGGCGCCTCTCGGAGCAGGAGCTCGACTCGTACCTGTTCGGCCTCGCCCAGCCCGGGGGGCTCAGCCCCCCCATCCACTACTACCGCAAACCTCTTCCGGTGGGCGGGGCCGCCCCATTGGGTGACCCCGCCTGGGGGTGGGACCCCATTGGGTGATCTCAGTTGGGGGGTGGGACCCCATTGGGTGACCCCGCCTGGGGGTGGGACCCCATTGGGTGACCCCGCCTGGGGGTGGGTCCCTATTGGGTGACCCCACTTGGGGGGTGGGACCCCATTGGGTGACCCCAGATGGGTTTGGGATGTTCCCAGTTGGGTTTGAGTGGTGCCAGTTGGGTTTGGGATGTTCCCAGTTGGGTTCTCTTGGGTTGGGCGGTCCCAATTGGGTTTGGGTTCTCCCAGTTGGGTGGTGGGACCCCATTGGGTGGCTCCAGTTGGGTTTGGGTTCTTCCAGTTGGGTTTGGATGCTCCCAGTTGGGTTTGGGATGTTCCCAGTTGGGTTCTCTTGGGTTGGGTGATCCCAGTTGGGTTTGGAATGATCCCACTTGGGTGGTGGGACCCGATTTAGATGTCCCCGCTTGGGTTTGGGATGTTCCCAGTTGGGTTCTCATGGGTTGGGCAGTCCCAGTTGGGTTTGGATGCTCCAGTTGGGTTTGGAATTTTCTCAGTTGGTTCTCTTGGGTTGGGCGGTCCCAGTTGGGTGGTGGGACCCCGTTGGGTGACCCCAGTTGGCTTTGGGTTCTCCCAGTTGGGTTCTCTTGGGTTGGGTGTTCCCAGTTGGGTTTGAGTTCTCCAGTAGGGTGGTGGGACCCCATTGGGTGACCCCAGTTGGGTTTGGGTTCTTCCAGTTGGGTTTGGATGATCCCAGTTGGGTTTGGGTGCTCCCAGTTGGGTTTGGAATGATCCCACTTGGGTGGTGGGACCCCATTGGGTGACCCCAGTTGGCTTTGGGTTCTCCCAGTTGGGTTCTCTTGGGTTGGGTGTTCCCAGTTGGGTTTGGGATGTTCCCAGTTGGGTTATCTTGGGTTGGTTGTTTCCAGTTGGGTTTGAGTTCTCCCAGTTGGGTGGTGGGACCCCATTGGGTGACCCCAGTTGGGTTTGGGTTCTTCCAGTTGGGTTTGGATGATCCCAGTTGGTTTGGATGATCCCAGTTGGGTTTGGGTTCTCCCAGTTGGGTGGTGGGACCCCATTGGGTGCTCTCGGTTGGGTTTGGATGATCCCAGTTGGGTTTGGGATGATCCCAGTTGGGTTTGGGTGCTCCCAGTTGGGTTTGGTTGGTCCCAGTTGGGTTCTCTTGGGTTGGGTGGTCCCAGTTGGGTTTGGGGGATCCCAGTTGGGTTCTCTCGGGTTGGGTGCTCCAAGTTCGGGTGGTGGGACCTCATTGGGTGCTCCCAGTTGGGTTTGGGATGATCCCAGCTGCCCACAGGTGTCCCCGACCTGTCCCCCAAGTGTCCCTCACCTGTCCCCAGGTGTCCCTGACCTGTCCCCAGGTGTCCCCCGACCTGTCCCCAAGGTGTCCCTCACCTGTCCCCAAGTGTCCCCAAGGTGTCCCCATGTCCCCCAGGTGTCCCTGACCTGTCCCCTCCCCCCCTTTCCAGGGCCACGCCCATCCCCCGGGAGCCGCCCCCTCCCCCCACGCTGCTGCTCTGGGGCTCCCGCGACGCCTTCCTGGACCCGCGCCTTGGCCCCGCCCACATGCGCTGGCTCCGCCCCTCCGCCCGCCTCCGCCTCCTGCCCGGCGCCTCCCATTGGCTGCCCGAGGAGAGGCCCCGCCCCCTGGCCAAGCTGATTGGAGAGTTCCTGGGGGGAGGGGCCGAGGAGGGGTCGTAGCCACGCCCCGGGTGGGGGGAGGGGGGGTGGGGGAGGGAATCCCAACATCTGGAGGGGGGAGGGGGTGGGACCTCAACATCTGGAGAGGGGTGGGACCCCAACATCTGGAATCGGGACCCCAACATCTGGAATGGGGATCCCCAATGTTGGGAGGGTCCTGGTGAGGACCCCAACATCTGGAATGGGGACATCAGCATCTGGAATGGGGACCCCCAACATCTGGACGGAAACCCTCAAGGCCGGCATGGACGCCCCCAACATCTGGATGGGGACCCTTGGAGGGTGATGGGACCCCCCCCCCCAGAATGTGAGCAGAGGCGTCAACATCTGGATGAGGACCCCATGGCCAGGGGTGGGGACCCCCAACATCTGGAAGAGATCCCCCCCCCAACATCTGGAACGGGGACGTGAACATCTGGGACGGAAGTGCAGGGGTGGGGACCCCCAACATCTGGAAGAGACCCCCCAACATCTGGAATGGGGACCCTCGGGGGGGGGAGTTATGGGACCCCCCCCCCCAACATCTGGAATGGGGACCCCAAATAAATCGGGGGTGACGCCAAAAAAAAAAAAAAAAGGGGGAGGGGCTTTTGTGGGGGGGTGGGGGAGGGGGTGTGAGAATTTGGGGTGCTGGGAGTGGGGGATGGGTGGGAATTTTGGGGGGTGTGGGGGGATGGGGAATTCGGGGTGGGGGGGAGGGGCGCGGTGATTTTTGGGTCCCTCCCCTCCCCCCCCGGGCCCGCTCTAAGCCTCTTAAGGGGCCCCGGCGGCCGCGGATTAACGGGGGGGGGAGGGGCAGGGGGGTGGGGGAGGGGCAGCGCGGGGTTCCCCCCCCCCCCCCCAATCCCAGCCCGTGCCCGGCCCCGCCCCTCCCCCACTCCCAGTTCAACCAGTTGGACCGGCCGGACCGGGGGGGGGGAGGGGCAGGGCCCCGCGTGTGCCCCTCCCCCCACCCACACCCCGCGGGGGGGGGCAGCGGAGGCGGCCCCAAAACCCCGAGGGTGTCCCCAAAACCCCGAGGGTGTCCCCAAATCCCTGAGGTGTCCCCAAATCCCCCCCGGTGTCACCAAAACCCTGAGGGTGTCCCCAAACCCCCCCAATGTCCCCTCTGTGTCCCTTTGGTGTCCCCAAATCCCCCTCGATGTCCCCAAATCCCCCCCCAGTGTCCCCAAACCCCTGCAGGGTCACCATTGGTGTCCCCTCTGTGTCCCTTTGGTGTCCCCAAATCCCTGAGGTGTCCCCAAATCCCCCCCTCCGTGTCCCCTCGGTGTCCCCCAGCCCACGTCCCCAAATCCCCTCCAGGTCCTTTCCTGTGTCCCCTCCCTGTCCCCAAACCCCCTCCGTGTCCCTCTCGTGTCCCCAAATCCCCGCGGTGCCACCCAAGGTGTCCCCAAGTCCCCTCCATGTCCCCATCGTGTCCCTCTCATGTCCCCAAGTCCCCTCGGTGCCACACTCGGTGTCCCTTTGGTGTCCCCAAATCCCCTCGGTGCCACCTGAGGTGCCCCTTTGGTGTCCCCAGAGTCCCCCGGTGTCCCCTCCATGTCCCCTCTGTGTCCCTTTGGTGTCCCCAGGTCCCCTCCAGGTCCCTTTTCTGTGTCCCCTCCATGTCCCCATCGTGTCCCCAAGTCCCCGCCCTGTGTCACTCCCGTGTCCCTGCTGATGCCACCTTGTCCCTTCCATGTCCCCACCATGGCCCCGTGTCCCTTCCCTGTCCCCATCCCTGTCACCGCCTGTCCTCCTGTCCCTTCAGTGTCCCCTCAGTGTCCCCTCAGTGTCCCCATCCCTGTCCCTGTCCCTGTCCCCATCTCTGTCCCCTCCCGTGTCCCCGTGTCTGTCCCTGTCCCCACCATGTCCCCGTCTCTCACCCTGTCCCTCTCACCCTGTCCCCATCCCTGTCCCCTCAGTGTCCCCTCCCTATCCCTGTCCCCGTGTCCGGTGTCCCTGTCGGTGTCTGTGTGTCCCTGTTGGTGTCTGTGTGTCCCTGTTGGTGTCCCCATGTCTGTCCCTGTCCCCGTGTCCGGTGTCCCTGTAGGTGTCCGTGTGTCCCTGTTGGTGTCCGTGTGTCCGTGTCCCTGTCCCCGTGTCCGTGTGTCCCTGTCCCCGTGTCCAGTGTCCCCTGTTGGTGTCCGTGTGTCCCTGTCGGTGTCCGTGTGTCCCTGTTGGTGTCCCCATGTCTGTCCCTGTGTCCGTGTGTCCCTGTTGGTGTCCATGTGTCCGTGTCCCTGTCCCCGTGTCCGGTGTCCCTGTTGCTGTCCGTGTGTCCCTGTTGCTGTCCGTGTGTCCCTGTTGGTGTCCCCATGTCTGTCCCTGTTGGTGTCCGTGTGTCCCTGTTGGTGTCCCCATGTCTGTCCCTGTGTCCGTGTGTCCCTGTCGGTGTCCGTGTGTCCGTGTCCCTGTCCCCGTGTCCGGTGTCCCCCGGCCCCTCCCCGTGTCCTATTTTTCCGCCGTGGCCATGGCAACGGGGACAGACACGGGACACGGGGGGGGGACATGGCGGGGACAGGAGGGGACAGGGAGGGGACAGGGATGGGGACAGAGAGAGGGACAGGGAGGGGGACAGGGATGGGGACAGGGACAGGGAGGGGGACAGAGAGAGGGACAGGGGGACACGGGGACATGGGAGGGGACACTGAGGGGTCAGGGACAGAGATGGGGACACGGACAGGGGTGGGGACATGGGGACAAGGATGGGGACAGAGAGAGGGACAGGGGGACACAGGGACATGGGAGGGGACACTGAGGGGCCAGGGACAGGGCACACAGACACCAACAGGGACACCCGACACGGGGACAGGGACAGGGACACAGACATGGGGACAGTGATAGGGACACGGGGACAGGGACAGGGACATGGGGACATTATTAGGGACACGAGGACAATGGACACAGACACGGGGAGGGACCGAGGGACACCGGACATGGGGACACCGACATGGGGACGTTGACACTTACATGGACATGGGGACACAGACATGGGGACGTTGACACTGAGATGGACATGGGGACACTGACACGGACATGGGGACACCAGACATGGACAGGAGGACAGGAGGGGACACAGGACATGGACAGGGGGACACGGACATGGGGAGGGGACATCAAACACGGACATGGGGACACAGGACACGGACAGGAGGACACGGGGACACTGAAATGGACGTGGGGACATGGGGACACCGGCCATGGGACAAAGGGACACTGGAATGGACACGGGGATACCAGACACGGACAGGGGGACACCGACAAGGGGACATCAGACACGGACGTGGGGACATGGGGACAATGACACAGACACGGGGACACCGGACACGGACACGGGGACACGGACATAGGGACATGGGGACAATGACACAGACAGGGGGACACCGGACACGGACATGGGGACACCGGACACGGACATGGGGACACCAGACACGGACATGGGGACACGGACATGGGGACAGGGGGGGACACCTGGCACAGCCACGGGGACACTGGCACAGACAGGTGGACACTGACACGGACAAAGGGACACCGAAATGGACGCGGGGACACGGGGGGGACACCGGACACGGACATGGGGACACAGACACGGACACACGAGGGGGACACGGGGACATTCCCAGTGCTCCCAGTATTCCCAGTATCCCTCTGCCAGCCCCGCCCCTTTCCCCGCGCGCGCCGGAGGAAAGGGGGCGTGGCCTCCATCCCCTCTCTCCCCCAGTCACGTGACCGCAGGTGCGCCCCGCCCCTTCCCCCACCCCCCCCCCACCTCCCCGCACCTGGCGCTCGCGCCGCGCCCGCCCGAACCCGTCCGGAACCGCCCGAACCCCCTCGGACCCACCCGAAACCCCGGCCGGAACCCCCCTCGAACCAACCCGAAGCTTTTCCGAGCCTCTACGAACCCACCCGAAGGGGCCGAACCCACCCGAAGGGGCCGAACCCACCCGAAGCCTTTCCGAGGAGGCCGAACCCACCCGAAGCCTCTCCGAGCCCACCCGAAGCAGCCGAACCCACCCGAAGCCTTTCCGAGGAGGCCGAACCCACCCGAAGCCTCTCCGAGCCCACCCGAAGCCGCCGAACCCACCCGAGCCCACCCGAAGCTTTTCCGAGCCTCTCCGAACCCACCCGAAGGGGCCGAACCCACCCGAAGCCTTTCCGAAGGGGCCGAACCCACCCGAACCTACCCGAAGCCTTTCTGAGGCGGCCGAACCCACCCGAACCCACCCGAGCCCACCCGAAGCCTCTCCGAGCCCACCCGAAGCCGCCGAACCCACCCGAGCCCACCCGAAGCCTCTCCGAGCCCACCCGAAGCGCAGCCGAGCGCAGCCGAAGCCTCCCCGAGCGCACCCGAAGGCGGCGCCGGTGGCCGCGGCGGCCCCGGTGGCCCCGGCGGCGGCCCCGGGATGGTGGCGGCTCCTCCGGCCGCCGCCGCCGCCATGCGCCGCGGGTTCCTGGTGCCCGAGATCCGCCCGCTCGACCAGTACGACGGGAACCGGGCCCGCAGCGCCGCCAGCCTGGCCTGGGCCATCGCCACCGGCTACGGCGGCGCCGGTAGGAGCGGGCGGGGACCGGGGAGGGAGGGGGGGGAACTGGGGGGGATGGCGGGGAGGGGGATGGGGAGGGGGGGGGTCTGCGGTTGTGGGTACGGGGAGGGGTCTCGGTGGTACCGGAGGGGTCCCGGTACCGAGTGCGGGACTGGGGAGGGGTCCCGGTGTTACCGGAGGGGGTCTCGGTATCGAATGCGGAGCGGGTGGTACCGAGACCGGGACTGGGGAGGGGTCCCGGTGGTACCGGAGGGGTCCCGGTACCGAATGGGAGAGGGCTGGTACCGAGTGCGGGACTGGGGAGGGGTCCCGGTGTTAACGGAGGGGGTCTCGGCACCGAATCTGGGACTGCGGAGGGGTCCCGGTACCGAATGGGGGGCGGATGGTGCCGAGACCGGGACTGGGGAAGGGTTCGGGTGGTACCGGAGGGGATCCCGGTGGTACCGGAGGAGGTCTCGGGACCGAATTCGGGAC